TCTCAAATACCCCTCAAGAACATGCTATATCTGTTTAATTACACCGAATGTTAACGTTCAAAACGCATTGATGATCGTGACGTTACAAGCGTCCAGTCGGATAGAGTATTTTTTGGCAAATACCATGGCAGAGAGGGTAAAAAAGGCATATCCTTTTTGCATATACCCCGGCGGCATTAAAAAATGAACGATATTCATTTGATACCAGTAAATTGGTGAAAAATACACTGGCTATCAACCAATCAAAACCCAGGATTCTTACATAAGGTGTAATTACTATATATATTCAATTGTTTAGAATGGAGTATATACATTATATTTAAAATACAAACTATATTTCCGTTTGAATGGTTTTACACTAGTAATTTTTAGGGGCCCTTTATAGCTTGCTGTTCGGTGTGAGCCAATGCTCCGTGTTGAAGGCCGTACCTTGACCTATAATGGTTTACTTTTATAAATTTTAACTTGGATGGAGAGTTGTCTCATTGGCACTCATACCACATCTTCCTATATCTATATATGAGATAAAATAAACACCAAAATCTTTTGATTAGAATAAATGATATATTTTAATTGTTGGTTTTTTTTTTAAAAAAACACAACCACAAAATATTGACTAGGCCTTTGAATGTGTTATTCTTCATTCTGATTTCTGCTTCCCAATAGTGAACTTTCCATTTCTATGTAGCAACACTCCAGCATCACCTTTATTTCAAGTGCAATGGGATAGCTTCGTTCAACATAGTCACCAAACTTTAAATTATTTAGTGAGAGGACATCATCTATATGGCGGAACATAAAGTTAAAGGATAATACTAGCTTCTTTACATTATTCAGAAGAAACTCCTGTATTAAGTCAGCCTCATATGAATAAAGGAACAAGTCAGCAAGAAGAGGAGCACAGTTGGTTCCCATGGAAATGCCGATTGTTGGTTGAAAAATCTTGTCTAGCTGATCATCATTCCTTGTCAAAGTTTCTATTCTAGTTTTCACGATAAAAACCAAAACATAATAAACAGCTGCGCCATGAGTGCATGATACTCCCGTCGTCTTGTGTGTGAATATTTATGCAATAATCATAAATAGTTTCTGACATACAGCGCGACATACGAAAACCCCCCTTTTTTTTACAAAAAACTCAATATCTCTAAAATAAAATTTTGAATCAAAACCAAAAAGTATACAGATCTTTAGATTAACATAACTAAGAAGTGTGTAAAATTTTAAGCAATAATCATAAATCGTTTTTGAGATATGGCGCGACATGTGAAAACCCCTCCCCCTTTTTTTACAAAATACTCAATAACTCAAAAATAAAATTTTGAATCATCACCAAAAAGTATACAGATCTTAAGATTAATATAACTAAGAAGTGTGTAAAGTTTTAAGCAATAATCATAAATTGTTTTTGAGATACGGCGCAACATGTGAAAAAAAAACACACACCTGTTTTAGTTACTAAGTCCTGTAACTCAAAAAGTTTTAATCTTATTTTCACCAAAAAGTATACAGATCGTTTGACCATCATAAGAAACAACTGTTTAAGTTTCATGAAATTTGGATAAGTCGTTCTCAAGTTACGGTGCGACAGACAGACGGACAGACAGATAGACGGACAGGCGACATTTGTATACCATAATACGTCCCGTCAAAATTTTGATGGGCGTATAAAAAGTTCATTTTCTCCAATAAAGAGTCCATTTAAGATAACTTTCAATTGATTTTTTTGTAAATCTTGTATTGCTGGACTTATATTATAGCTGTTTACAGTTTTTGTCAATCTATCTAATGTTTCAAGAAATTATGGAACAATGCTAAAATTGATGATTCTGATTGGCCAAGTTATTTCAGAGAAAAAAAATGTAAACAACACGACCTAAAACAATAGCCTAATCCTTCTAAGGCCAACTTTGCCTGAGGGAGTTGAAACCTTTGTTTCTTTATAATTTAAAAATTTATCAACGGGCAAATTTAGAAAGGTTTGTTATTAATCATGTCAGTACCGAAGTACTGACTACTGAGCTGATGATACCCTCGGGGACTGATAGTCCACCAGCAGAGGTATCGACCCAGTGCTGTAAAAAATGTAAACAACAGGTTATAAATTTAATACGTCCGAAGCACTTTTCTGGATTTACCTTCATCAGGAACGCTCAAAGCCAAATATTTGAAAGCCAAGGATGTATAAAACCGAAACAATTGAAGAGAAGACTCTTGAAACGTTAAAACAGATGACAGAAGACAATGCATGATTGGAGCCAAGTGGTGGGCACGAGACAGTTTGTAATGCTAAATTTTTCAATAAAGGCACAAGTTCCCAAAGGGAATCATTGTCAACCATTATGTCAACCGCAGATGAATATTGAAATAATTCTTCAGTGTGGAGTATTTACTGATGCCCAAGAAAAATCTTCCTTAAGTTTACATAATGCCTCAATACAATAAAGCCCAAGGGGGATCACTTTGTATACAATTTCTGTATATTATGATGCCTACGAGGAATCAATCTCTGTTTTACACAATGCCAATCTATAATGATGACTAAAGAAAATCTCTCTTTGCCAATGGGAATCTCTCTAAACAAAACTCTTGTATTTACAGATGCCCAAAGGGAATCTCCATTTACAATTATGCCAGTTGAGAAATTACGTTACTAGTATATATATGAGCTTCGTCAAATAGATATCGGCCTTATGCAAGTGCACGTAAACGTGTACATGTATAAGACTTTGCTTGATGTTGGAACATTCAAATATGAAGTGAAAGATGAATTTTGGTCTGTTTTGTAGGGTTCTTATATAAAATCAATTTTCAAAAAGCTACAGACTTTGCATAGACATTTTTTCAACCCAAAATATGTTAACAGATGTATTGATATTCATTTGTATAAGGTAGATTTCTATCGGACGCAAATCATATAATATCTCTATATTATAATGCCTTAGAGGAATCAATCTCTTTAGACAACAATGGTTATAAAAAATGTTGCCCAAAGGGAATCTTTCTTTGACAATGGAAATCTGTAAACAAACATGTTGTATTTAAAATAATTTAAAAAACCATGTAAATCAATAAAAGCAAGATATAATATTGGACAGCTACATCGGAAGAAAAGCGGTGGTTTAATTGTTGCCTTCCCATTTCATCCAAATTGCCCTGAATCATGATAATTACTATGGTCTTGTTTTTTAGTATTACAAATGGTTTGGTTGTATGGGTGAGGAAAACTCCATCAGAAGATTATAATATGCAGGAAAAGATTTCACAATGCCTTTTAAATGCTAAATATTTCATTGCAGATTTTGGTTTTCTATTGAAAATTTAACAACTTACATGTTAATTGTTTCACTGACTTATTCACTGCAGTGATTTGCCTCAGCATTATTGTAAAGAAAATTTCTATCAGGGCATCAATATTCATCTGCGATTGATTATGATTCCCTTGAGGAACTTGTGTCTTCAGCGAACGTCAGTGTTACAAACTGTCTCGTGCAATTGATGGCAATATCTCACACTGGCCCTTTTTGGGTAATGTGAAAAGCTGAAAGTTTTATATTTATGCATGACAGTTTAAAGATACAATAGCAAAGATAGGTTTTAAGTTTTCATTAAACAGGAAATAGTTCATAAAAGGAACTAAAATATGTCAAACAGAATGACTTAACCAGATATATATAGAAGCTATGACTTGTAGTTGCAAAAATAAATCTGAAGAATCTAGATGAAGTATATCAAGAAGCTTTGACATGTAGTTGCTGCAACAATAAAGTATACATGAACATATATATATGACACTGTATCCTTACTTAACCAGATGTATATGATGTCAAACATTCTAGGTGTGAAGACAAGAACATTTTGGGGAAAGTTTGATTGATTACGAATTTTCCCTCAAAATAATGCTTAAATTGAAAGTCTTGTTTATTTTTTACTTCCAATGGTATTGCATTTAAAGTTGGCCTATGTCAATTTTAAATTTCTGGTTAATCTACATTTTCTGCTAGTACTGAGTGCTAGATGTTGATGGGTAAACTATACCTATGTTTTAAATAGGTCAAGCTTAAACTACAGTTTAAGTATGGTCTTAATATATTAAATAAAAGGTCTCATGTCAATATCATGAATTTAAAGGGGCACTAGCTACGAGATATATAAAAAATCTAAAATATGATTGTCTTTTGTTCAATCATTAATGAAAGTGAAATAGTGAAATAATAATTCGCTTTTAGCAGCCAGTATGGTTCAATTTTGTCAAAATAAGCTCAGAAACATTGATGATGAATTATTCACTTGAAAGTGAATAATTCGACCTCATTGAATCTGTATTCATGTGAACTTCAATTTAACCCCTTAGCTAGAGATGGATAACGCATGAATTGTGCGTGTCAAGTTATTTAAAGGAAAAGAATGTCAACATTGAAAGTAAAACAAAGGTAAATCATTTGACTGACTGATTCGATCCACAAAAAATCATTCTTATACAGGTAAAAACGACGATTAACATATAGTTTTAATCTATAATACGAAATTAAACAGACCTAGAAAAATCCAATTGCACGCTTTCTCTATCTTATTTATATCTTTATTTATGTTTATATTCCTTATATGGCCATCAGAGGTCAAATCGATAGTTAATTAGATGGCGTCTAGACTAAAATAGACAGGAAACGAAGTTACATATTATCAACCCCATGCCCTGTAAATTGTTTATTTTAGACTTTTTATAATTTGGATAAATGTTTTACATTGTTCTAAATTGAATATGAGAATTTGAGTCAAATCGGTGAACATGAATTTGACAGCTAGTGCCCCTTTAAGAGAATGTAAATGGTATGAAACCGTACCCCTATTGTTCTACTTGGATGAACTGACCTTTCCATTCTCAAGTCTATAAATAGCTATTGAAACAACCAAGCTAGCAACCTAGAATTATGATTTGAGTGATGCCAACAATTTTTCACACACAATATACATAATTCCAGGGATAATAACAAAGTCAATCAGATTAAATTCTTTTATTCATTCAGTTTTGTATAAAAATTAATCGAGATCTAAGGTGCCTAAACTTAGGCAATGTGTCATTCTTGTCATTGTAAAACAACAAAATTATGTTTTGAAAAAAAATTAAATCAGATATACACAATACAATGATCTGATAATTTGACTAAAATTAAATTGCTTGATAGGTAAGTATTATGAGAAACAACAAAATTGGTTTTGATAAAAAATGAAATAAGATGTACACAATATAATGATCTGATAGTTTGATAAAAATAAAATTGCTGGTAAAGTAAGTGTTCCAAATGGAATAATGAATGGATTGGATAATAAAAAAAAACATTCATCATTAACAGCAGAATATAAGGTAAGGTTAAATTGCAAGTTGTGATTTGAGAATACAAATTAAATGAACATAATATGAAACACCTCAGTTGTGATAAAACTTTACCAATTTTAATGTTTCACAATATTTTGTCTCAAATGTGTCCTCAGTTTCTCTTGTTAACATTTTTATGAAATTTTAGATCTTCTTTTTTGTATAAAATTAAACAAAGAAAATCTGACAAATTGCAGTAAAATGCATTTTCATCCTGTTATAATAATTATGTAACAATTGCTACTTGCAAATATATGCTTTATATTTTATGACAATGCTATAAACTGATTTAGACAGTGCAAAGTCGCGCAACTTTACTGTATACAGAATGCCTAGGCATTTTTCCACAACATTCTCTTTTGTGAACTTTCAATGCATTTTAGTGTCACAAACAAGACTCTTTCTACAATTTTCACATTAGTTTCAATATAAATTAAATTCTTTTATCACACTGTCTGTCTTCTTGACAGAGGGTGGTAAAAGGTTATTTTCGTGCAACATGTTTGCAATTTTTATTTCACATGTTTTCATGCTTGAATCTCTGACATTATTCACTGTGTTTCATGTAAATTGGTGAAAAAGCAACATGCAAGTTCTTATTTTTTTTCATTCATCGTGAAATGGCCATTTTATTTCTCTTTCGTCCATGCAAATTCCCCTTTTACGACCCTCTTCTTACACTCCTTCCAAAGCTAGATTACACAACCCTGATTTGCTCCTTGACAAGCTCAAGCATTGTCTTGTCTATTTGGTTCTTTATAAAACATTACTGTATCCAAGTGTTTCAATAATCATCCATCCTGTCCTCATCACTTTCACTGTCTTCTTCTTTCTCATTACTGTAGTATGTGGCAGGTGAACACAACCACGACAGGACTAAGATGGCACCAAATACCATCCCAGCATACAACATGGTGTAGATATGGTTAGTATGATGATGTAAGGAAAAACCAAGATACCTAAAATGTTAAAATACAAGATTGTTATGATAGAAGCAATTGTTCCTGTCACTATAAAAATAGGAGATGTGGTATGATTGTCAATGAGACAACTCTTCAACAGAGAGTTCCTGTCATATCCACTTGAAAGAATTAAAAGAGCAAGATAATTTGCAGCAGTTACTCTGAGAATTTGATGATTAACACTTAATTTTGGAAGACAACTAGTCCTAATATCTAAGATATACTTCAAATAATGGCATTTTCTCTTCTGATACAAGCTTTATTACCAAGAATATAAATGGAACCCCTTTTGAAGTCAATATCCAAATTAAAATTCAGTTTTTCTTCTGCATCAACAATTTGTATTAACACTATGTTTCTTGGGATAAAATATGATATTACCTAAAGTATTTAATTAAACTATTTTTAGGCGTATAAATAGAAAAATGTTCAGTTGTATGAATGAGGTCAAGTGGATTTTATTAATAAATTGACATGGACAGACATTTAAATGTGACACTACTGCATTGTTATGTGACATCATTGCCTTATATATTTCAGTTTCACATACTGTCCTTGATTTAAAAAAACAGAAAGCAGTAGGACTAAAGTGAAAATATAGACAAATTCCTTATTAATTTCAGTAGTAAGTAACATAAAGGCAGGTAAAACTGTAAATGAATAATAATATTAAAGCTATACTAGTGTACTGAAAGTTCCTATAAAATATGATGTTTATAGGCATTTTGACTAAGTGTTTCTAAGCAGAACCTGTTATATATAAAGTTGTGTCAAAAAACAACCAGAGATATTAAAAGAAATGTATAAACTAAACCTTTACTTTAGTGAACCCTTATTAAAAGATCTACAATGTATGTGTTATATAATCGTAACATACCAATATCAGTGTGAATGACAAATGTTTCTGGAAAAAGCTTCACCTGACAGATACACTCGAATGGGAAAGCTTAATATATAATACATTTATAAGCATGGATTTTCAGGGTCAAACAGCATAGCCAAAATCTTCTAAGGTATACTGGACTAATGGAGTTACAATCTAAGTTTAAAATTGGGCCTATTTAAAAAAAAAATGTATGTAGGGAATACGGGACTATGGGACTCAATAATAAAACTTGAATTTTTGTCCATTGTTAAAAAATCTTAACAAATGCATTAAAAAGATTCTGCATCTACAGTATACAGTAAAGCTCGGGTAAATATTTACAAGGAGAGCATACCTGTCAACTGACCCGTATTCTGGGGGTTACACCCATGAATTTCCCCCTTTCACACAGGATTTTTTTAAGAGATTCACTTTTGACATTCTATAATGGATATATGGTTATTTGAACCTTTCAAGCAAATGAAATGAAACAGGTCTATATTACTATTTATATTTACTGCAGTATGAAAGTTAATAATGAAAAAATTCTTATACTGTGGAATCATTTTGAGGGTACCAATTTTCATAGATTGAGGAAAAATTGTATTTTTGTGGATATTTGATTTCCTGGTTTTCCCAATAGTCTGCATACAAGCCAATAGAAAATTTGTACTTCTTTCAACTTTTAAATTAGTAATTCATCTTTACCAATTAAATCTATGAAAATTGGTATCTAATATATTTCAATAAATCCACAGTAAAAAAATTTAAATACAAAAGTGGTCTTTACGTTGGTACCATCAGTTCTGTACATTGAATACAGAATTTAAATGTACATGAAAACTGGACTATGATTATAACCTTACCATACTTTTTTTAATTATAACTCACCCTAATTTACATGTTACTATAATGTCATTTAATCCATCATTATCAAAGTCACCTACAACAAGGGGACTACTGGGTTGACATGGTAATGAATGAGAAGCTAGCAGGTTTCCTTCTTTAAGGTCAACAATGGCTATATTTGACCAGCCAGACATTACCATTGTATCCTGCAATACAAAAGTATTATCATTAATATACAATCATAAATTCAGATATATAAATTTATCTAAATATCTTTAATAATAACGAAAAACTGCCAGAATAATAATCAATAAACTACATGGTTAATTATATGTCTAAAAAAATGTTCTTTTGCAGTGAAAATGCAGACATGATATAACTATCTAGTCATCTCTATTACCTGTGTCAGTCTGTTTATAACATTTATGAAGGCTTCATAGAGGTCACTTCTGCATGCAATTTCATTGGTATGTTTCCAGTTCATGACCAAGCGTTCAAACCATTTTTTATTTCAAGAAGAGAGATCAAATGTAAAAGTCAAGAAATTTTAAATCGGATTTCATGTACTTTAACCCCGCCGCATTTTTGCGCCTGTCCCAAGTCAGGAGCCTCTGGCCTTTGTTAGTCTTGTATGTTTTTTAATTTTAGTTCATTTATATGTTTTGGAGTTTAGTATGATGTCCATTTTCACTGAGCTAGTTCACGTTTTTATTTAGGGGCCAGCTGTGGACCACCTCCGGGTGCAGGATTTTCTCGCTGCGTTGAAGACCCATTGGTGGCCTTCAGCTGTTATCTGCTCTTTGACCGGGTTGTTGTCTCTTTGAAATATTCCCCATTTCCATTCTCAATTTTACTCAAGTGGTCAGTAACTAATATGGCATCATGTGACAAAAAAGGCAGAAACTGTCTCTAAAAACAGCAAATCAAATTATATGGAGTGGATTTCTGAAGTGCCTTTATCTGGCTTAATGCCCAAAATGATTATTAAACATAAAAAAATTTTGATAAAACATTTGCAGTGTTTAGATGCTGTTTCATTGTGTTTCATTGATGTATTATGAATGAAATAAAAAGATCTAGCTGATAAGCAGCAGTAATGGTTTAATCAGGTAGAAATGGTGTACTCCTACTCATCACACGGAAAAACAGAAATATGTCAGGAAATTAATAAATTTCTACCTTGTAACCATAGACCTGCAGTGACATAAGTTGTCTACTTGGATAAAAACTGTCCATATATTGTTGTAACTTCTCAGGTGCACTGTCTACTTCTCTCTTTCTATCCTGTGATTCTATAGACCAACTGGCTGGTGTTCCCACCTACCAACATACAAACAGGTTTATATTTCAAAATTTTGTAAGGATATGCAAACTAATAAATGTCTTTAAAGCTGTGTATGTTAACATATATATATATATATATATATATATATATAAGTGAAGTGTAAGTCCCTGAGAGTATCACCAGCCCAGTAGTCAGTACTTTGATACTGGCATGAAAAATATGTATTTTGTTTATTGAAATTTGCTGTTAAATAATTTTGGAAATAATTTTAAATTAAGGAATGTAAAACCCTCATGCAGATTTCTATTTCCTTGTCTATGTTTGGCTATTCTTTTGATCCATTTTGGTTTCATCAGCTCTTCTACATTTACACAAGGTTTGGGATTTTCAAATATGTTGGTTTTGAGCATTAATAAAGAGGCATTTATTTTCGAAAGACACATCTGGTGGAGTAAAATTGATACTGTTAATGTTATTACAGAATACTGATTAAAGATATTTTAAATTAGATGCTGTGAAAAAATAATAATAATACGATATAACTTTTTATGCATCTGAAATGCTTTTCTGTTTTTACCTTCATCAAGAACGCTCAAAGCTGAATATTTAGAAAGCAAAGGATGTAAAGAAACCGAAACAGTTTATTTTGGTAAATACATAGTTGTTTATATACAGATAAACTAATGTGAATAAACAGAAGATCAAATATGAATTACATATATTTTTAAAAACATTCACATAAAAACAGGATAATAATGTAATTGATACAGTTAATATCTTTAAAACTCAACCAGAGTCGTCCATGTGTTAAATATTTGTAAAGAAGACTTATATCTATATCAATGATATACAAAAGTTGACCAACTTCCTTTGAAATGGTCAGTTCATCTTGAATTTTTATGTACAGCTATTATCAAAAACTGTCATATATTGAAATCAGTACATTACCAATTTAAAACAGCTTGTTTTAGGTATAATATTTTACTACAGTATATATATGAGTCGCCAAAAAAATGGTTACCATCTATAGTTTTGACTGTTATTTGTAAGAATCTTTGTTAATAACCAGGGTGGGTTTCTTGACAACACATCATTCCTCTATGACTTACAGTCGCTTAGATCTAGACCCTTAAGCAAAATTTAAATATGGAAATAGCTACCCATCAATGTTAAAATGTCCTCTGAATTTAATAAGAAATGAGTAATATGGTTTTCATAATCCGTACCTGCCAGTTTACATTTCCTTCTTTGTCGTAAGATGATACTCGACCATAACTACCCATAGTGATAATGTCATAGGGTTGCTTATCGGTTGGTAAATGATGTCCAAGTAAATGTCTCAGGATACCCGTCTTTCTTGATATACTGTAAACAAAGAAAGTCTATATCTAAATGATAAGATTTGTCAATTCAAGAGTAAAGAATAAGAATAAAAAGAGGTGTAGGGTTTACATCTATGTGACAGTATCAAACAACACACACACAAAAAATGAAAAGACATCTAGAACTGTTTGCTGATCTAGGATTCATTTTCTTTTGATTATTTCAAGTTTGATCAAAAGATGAGAACATATGCCAGATTATAAACTGGCTGTTATCAGTCTTCAGCTGAAAATAATTTTAACAATAAATTAACAGTAAATCTAATTTTTTTTTAATATTTTTTTTAAAGTTTTGACTATTTTGTGATTTTTTTATTAAAGAAAGAACTTTATGATTAAGTAAGTTTACCTTTTAATGATGATGGGTGGTAACTTCTTAAGAATATCCTCATCATAAGCCCATGATGACGAGAAAAAGACACGGAAAAGTTTACATACAGCTAGTCCTTCCATTTTCTCCTTTACTGGTTGTAATCTCCAGATATCAACAAAACAGGGACTACGTCCTTCTTCTGCCCCCCATGAAACTCTGTCAACGTAACCATCATAATCAATATCAAGGTAGATGGCACCATCAGAAGCTAATGGAAACTGTGTAACTGGTTGTCCTGTCAGTAGATTTAGTACCTCAAGTCCATTATGATTATGGATGACCACTACATTAGGATTCACTATATGTTCATCGTCTGTGTGCGGTCGTTGACCACCATAAGCATATCCCATAATATGTTCTGGTCTGAGCGCAGATTTCTGTTTTTGTTGATTGTCCATAATAGCCTCATCTTGTTTTTGAAAACGACCTAATTTTATCTTTGTATCTTCTATATTATTCCAGAAATGTGGCTGCAAAAACAATTTTGTGATTAAAGAGATGTGTGGTGGAAGTATTACTATTTACATATATATGACGTTGCTGTAAAATATGTACTCTGAAAAGTACAGCAAGCAATTTAACAGTGTATGTGGACATGATGTTATATGAGCAGGATAGTATTTTGAGCTTGCTTTTTGTAAATGTGAGCATTTTTAAACCCTTTGACCCCATTTTCATTGTCTATCAAAGGATACATGTTGTTTTGTTTGTATTTATGTTTTTTTATACTTTATAAATTATCATTAACTTAAAATGCTTTTCCTTTATGAATTTTATTGTATGCTCTTTTATGTATCTTTTATATATAATTAATAGTCAACAGATCAAGTTTAAAACGGGCCAGGAGAGATCTAAATAATACTAGTTTAAACCATGTTCATGTGTCTGTCCCATGTAAAAATTAATCATTGCTTGTCTTTTGTCATGTCTAAATTTTTTTTTGTCATGCAGAAATTTTCCTGTTGATGGCAGATGTTTTATAGTCTTTGTTAAAAATGATTAAAGTTTTCACACTCAGTGTGATTTAGAGCTTGACATATAGTTTAGACTCTTGTCTTTTGTTGAAGACTGTATTTTGACCTCTAGATGACTGCTATACTGTGAGAGAACTTTTATTTGTGGGTATCAATTTTTGTGGTTTTTGTGGATGGCTTTATCCACAAATTTAAGTGTCCAACGAAATATTACAACTGTAGTCAAAATCTAGACATAGGAAAATCACCATATAGGTTTGACTGCATGGATACGGGCATATAATATAGAGAATACAACAAAATATCAGCAAATGCACTATGAGCTCTACATGTATATACAACTTTAGACAGGATTTCATCCATTTAATCTTTAAAAAATTTAAACTGTACGACTTTTTATCTTTTAATTCTCATTCAAAATTAGTATTGATCAATGAAAGTCTGACTTCCAGTTATGATATGTGTCTTATGTGATGATGAAGTGTTCATTTTATCTCCTCCTAATTCTCATACAAAAAAAAAATAATAATATCATATTGGGCTTGCTTTTATATTTCATAAGAATTAATTCTACAATTCAAAGTACATATGTAGCATTTTTTAATGTAACCAATTTCTTTAGTGACATGTTTATGGCCCAATTTCACCTTTGATGATCGTTTATCTGTTGACCATTCGATCTCGGGTTAATTAGTGTCATCACTTCTGATTACACATGTGCAACAATTCGAATGTTTACTTTGCAATGGCCTTCCCTTCGAGACAATTTGTAAGCATAGATGAATCAGCTTATTTCCAAAAGTAATTATCATATTAAAAATTTGATGAATGTTGTCAGTAATGAAAGACAAACAAGTAAGTGAAAATTAACACCTTTATTTTGCAATGTCCCACAAATCATTAAAAAACAACATGATTATTTTCAAGATGAAAATTAAGGAATTTAAGAACCCACAAACATGTAACTTTTGCTCAAACCATGAAAATTAATACCAAGGAATGAAAATACTTTCACGGTATTTGTGTTGTTGGGTTGCTGTCTAATCAAGATTAATCCCAAATCTCCTTTTGCTCATACAAATTTTAACTGTTCATTGTTACGTATAAAGGTATACATGAAAAACTATTTTGCAACATGTGTACTTCTGTGACATTAAACCCCTTTCAATCAATCAATATGCAGAGTATATTTCCATCAGGTGGTTGTAATGATTATTGATAGAAAGTAAAAACAAAATGAGAGTGGTAATGGGAAAGTAAGTATTTGGCCTTTTGCTCTATACTTCTAAGTTTGATACAATGTATTAAAAATAGCTTAAAAAAAAACCAAGCTTTATGATCAGAATTAAAATTTCAACAACACATAAAAGTGATAACAGGAATAAACACATATATTAGACAGTACAACAGACCACACAGTGAACTATCTAAATATAAAAATAAGGAGATGTTATATGATTGCCAATGAGACAACTATCCACTACAATAGACCACACAGTCAACTACCTAAATATAAAAATAAGGAGATGTTATATGATTGCCAATGAGACAACTATCCACTACAACAGACCACACAGTGAACTATCTAAATATAAAAATAAGGAGATGTTATATGATTGCCAATGAGACAACTATCCACTACAACAGACCACACAGTCAACTATCTAAATATAAAAATAAGGAGATGTTATATGATTGCCAATGAGACAACTATCCACTACAACAGACCACACAGTCAACTATCTAAATATAAAAATAAGGAGATGTTATATGATTGCCAATGAGACAACTATCCACTACAACAGACCACACAGTCAACTATCTAAATATAAAAATAAGGAGATGTTATATGATTGCCAATGAGACAACTATCCACTACAACAGACCACACAGTCAACTATCTAAATATAAAAATAAGGAGATGTTTTATGATTGCCAATGAGACAACTATCCACTACAACAGACCACACAGTCAACTATCTAAATATAAAAATAAGGAGATGTTATATGATTGCCAATGAGACAACTATCCACTACAACAGACCACACAGTCAACTATCTAAATATAAAAATAAGGAGATGTTATATGATTGCCAATGAGACAACTATCCACTACAACAGACCACACAGTCAACTATCTAAATATAAAAATAAGGAGATGTTATATGATTGCCAATGAGACAACTATCCACTACAACAGACCACACAGTCAACTACCTAAATATAAAAATAAGGAGATGTTATATGATTGCCAATGAGACAACTATCCACTACAATAGACCACACAGTCAACTACCTAAATATAAAAATAAGGAGATGTTATATGATTGCCAATGAGACAACTATCCACTACAATAGACCACACAGTCAACTACCTAAATATAAAAATAAGGAGATGTTATATGATTGCCAATGAGACAACTATCCACTACAACAGACCACACAGTCAACTACCTAAATATAAAAATAAGGAGATGTTATATGATTGCCAATGAGACAACTATCCACTACAACAGACCACACAGTCAACTACCTAAATATAAAAATAAGGAGATGTTATATGATTGCCAATGAGACAAATATCCATCAAAGTTCAGACGAAGTGGATGGGAGCAATTATAGGTAACTGTACAGCCTTCAACAATGAGAAAAATCCATACCGTATAAGTTGGCTATAACAGGCCAAACTCCTTCCAAATAATTAGAGATACAAACAAAGACAAACTACACATGGTCCAAATAGCCTTACTCCACATTCATCTGGTGTAAATGGCGATATAAATAATACTTGACTTGATGATTCAGAAAAAGAATTTCAAGTCCATACAACTTTAATTGCGTTAAAATACCTGACTTGATGATTCAGAATAAGAATTTCAAGTTGATATGATGCAAATGGTAGTATCAATAAAAATAATTACTAACTTGACATGTAGTTGTAATATGAAACATGAATATTCAAAATAATTTCATATCAATTATGATTTTCTACCTTACCAGATATTTCCAGATTTCCTGTTTATAAAGATTCCAAGGACTTTCTCCTACATGGAGTCTGTGTCTCTTCAGAGCCAACTTCCAATGGTGGTCACCATGTATATCCTAATTCATAAAATGAAAAAAACAGGGAACAATAACCATACCATGGAATCAATTATTTCCATGGTTACCAATTTCTGTGGATCTAATTTTGTAATTTAAATTGTATTTTCATGGATATTTGATTTGTGGTTTTGACACAGTTTTCATACATACCTATAGATTTTTTTTTTTAATTTCTTGAACATTTAAATTCTAGGTTCACTTTTACCCACGGTATCCATGAAAATTGGGATCCCATGAATAATAATTCTAATGCAATTATTTTGTATCAATGTACCGCGCAGAGACAGGTAAACGGATATTTGCGACAGTAAAACTACCGATGGACGTCTGCAAAGCTTCAAATACAATACAGTTATCTCTAAAATCCACAGTAAATCAAGAGTGATTTAGAATACTTATGACATTACAATAAGAAATCCATAAGGCATTAGGATGAAGAAGTATTATCATTTTTAAACGGAAATGTAACATCCAGAAAAAGTTTGTAAAAATAAAACACTTGTACCCTAAAATAATCTTTTAAAGTTTAGAAACATACTGTCATCAAATACTACATTTTTTTAAACTGTTGGACATTTAATAGAATATTTACTTTAAATCTATATTCATCGCATATCATCTATATAATATAAAGTAGTGTGTAAAAGCCACAAATTAAGTCATTCTTGTATGGAAAACAGCATGGGTCCCACCAAGTTTTTTTTAGATTATTGGAAGTCTCTCCTCAATGCCCTTCATCTCCGTATACTTTATTTGGCATTTTATCATTTTTTGATTCGAGTGTCACTGATGAGTCTTTTGTAGACGAAACGCGCGTCTGGCGTAAATATAAAATTTCAATCCTGGTATCTATGATGAGTTTATTTACATATGTCAGCATGCAAATAATCTCATACCTTGGATCACCTTCCATCAATTTGACTTGACCTACATTTGTCATTCATTCCAACAATTAAATGTACATAATCAAAGTAAAACCAACAGGATTCTGAAATACTGGGATTGCTAATAATTTTGTTGACTGTATATAAATATCACACATAAGTACATCAAAATTTAGAAAAGCTTGCATAATTTTTCAATACTGTAAATTCAGAAATTATTGCATTCATTTATCGTTGTGATTTTTGAAGAATGAGAGATTATAATATTTATTGCCATTTCAGGAAAATCTGCATAAAGACATATGTATCAGATATTAGAATGCACGTCCTTATTATTTTGATATTTACCCAATCGCATTATTTGCATTAATAAATATCTTGCAATAATTTCTGAAATTACAGTTAACAAAAGAACCTTGAATTGTTATGCAAACCAATTCCCCTGCACATACCTTCCCTGATGTATCTATCTCTCCAAAATCTCCTGGTAAGTGGTGCCACCTGGTGGAGCCATCTTTTGCACTTATGGCAAAAGAAGAGAAATGTGTTAAAGAGTTATCCTCCTTGGTCGCATTCTCTGATGTTGTGTCACTATAAAATATATAAAATCAAATAAATATCTATCAATTCTCTGCTGAAGTTGTACCATTAACAATCATACCACATCTTCTTATAAAGTACATGATTTTTTTTACATATTATAGTATTACATGTACTATCATTTAAGTAATGGATTCTCAAATAAAGTTGTCTTCTATAATCTTATAATAAATAAAAGATGTTGAGGATGTTTCAATGAGACAGCAACCACACAACATAAAGAACAACTTGAGTTTAACATAGGGTTTTCAACAATAAAGAAAACTCTATACAATATGACAAATTCCACATCACTCTATGATCATGCAAGATGTGAATTTTACAAAGACTACCATAGAACTAACATAAAAACCAAATTCTTTAAGTGACAAAAAACACTGAGATATAACAAAAGACAATAACAATATGATTTCTTCACTTGCATGATGTTTTCAAGAACACATGATATCTTTAAACAATACTCAGAATACATGATATCCTTGAACAATATGAACACATGATATCTTTGAACAATACTCAAAACATATGATATCCTTGAACAATACTCAGAACACATGATATCATTGAACAATACTCAGAACACATGATATCCTTGAACAATACTCAGAACACATGATATCTTTGAACAATACTCAGAACACATGATATCCTTGAACAATACTCAGAACACATGATATCCTTGAACAATACTCAGAACACATGATATCTGTGAACAATACTCAGAATACATGATATCCTTAAACAATACTCAGAATACATGATATCTGTGAACAATACTCAGAACACATGATATCTGTGAACAATACTCAGAATACATGATATCCTTAAACAATACTCAGAATACATGATATCTGTGAACAATACTCAGAACACATGATATCTGTGAACAATACTCAGAATACATGATATCCTTAAACAATACTCAGAATACATGATATCTGTGAACAATACTCAGAAAACATGATATCCTTGATCAATACTCTGAATACACATTATCCTTGAACAATACTCAGAACACATGATATCTGTGAACAATACTCAGATGGTGATCTTTAGTTGCTAAACATCCCTGTGATTTGGAATCTTTAGGATTTGATAAATACTGAAAACACATGATATCTTTGAACAATCACAATACTCAGAACACATGATATCTTTTAACAATAACAATTTTCAGAACCCATGATATCCTTGAACAATAACAATATAAAGAACACATGATATCCTTGAACAATAACAATATTCAGAATAAATGATATCCTTGAACAATAAAACTATTCAGAATAAATGATATCCTTGAACAATAACAATACTCAGAATAAATGATATCCTTGAACAGTAACAATATTCAGAACAAATGATATCCTTGAACAATAACAATATTCAGAACCCATGATATCCTTGAACAATAAAACTATTAAGAACACATGATATCCTTGAACAATAACAATATTCAGAATAAATGATATCCTTGAACAATAAAACTATTCAGAATAAATGATATCCTTGAACAATAACAATTTTCAGAACACACGATATCCTTGAACAGTAACAATATTCAGAATAAATGATATCCTTGAACAATAACGATATTAAGAATACATGATACCCTTGAACAATAACGATATTAAGAATACATGATATCCTTGAACAATAACAATATTAAGAACACATGATACCCTTGAACAATAACGATATTAAGAATACATGATATCCTTGAACAATATAAATATTAAGAACGCATGATATCCTTGAACAATAAAAATATTCAGAACACACAATATCCTTGAACAATACTCACTTTGAAACTTTAGTTGTGTTGGTATCATGTACTGTGTGTGAGAAACTTCCTCCAATAATAACCAGCCCTTCATCATTTTTCCTGACATTATGTGATGTGATCATAACATCCATAGCTTTGATCTTGTAGGTCAATCGTACATGGGCAATGCTCATCAGTCTTTGTTTCCATAGTAATTGGAAGTCATGTGAGTAACAGAAAACCTGCCAGTCATCAGTTGCTATCACTATGATCTGCAAAAATAGTGAATAGTATTTTTACATCACAGTATGATAAAATATAAAGGGTGTATCTGTGTGGCATTTAGTTGTAATTATCCTGAATACACATTTGAGTTCATTTGTATTACAATATCTATCATCTTGTTAGCAAAGAACAAACCCATAGACCCATTTGTAGATGTTTCTTTAATGTCAAGTATAAGCAAAATGTTTAATACAGGTATTATATAGAACATCTTTTACTGTCTTTAAGTTATTTTTTTCTTATTTCAAGCACTTATTATCAATATTTTTTTCTTTCATGTTTATTTCCTATCCACCATATTTGCAAAGATTCTGTAAATTGCATCAATTTGCTATATGGTACAATATATATTAATATAAATTATTCCCCTCTATCTGCTGAAATTGGTTAGAAATCCTGTTTCTTAATTTTCTGTTTGTCAAATACAAATGTAACCTTTTAGATGAATCAAGCTGACACGTAAAAAATCTAACACATCATATATAATCCAGTTCAAATAACACCCTTTTACTTTCAATATGAATATTTATTGTAAATACTGTAAAAGTACTTTTATTCATGGGTACCAATTTTTGTGGTTTTTGTGGATGGCTTTATTCACGAATTTAAGTGTCCAATGAAATATAACAATTGTTGTCCCAAATCAAGACATAGAAAGATACCCATCTACATGTACATGTAGGTTTAACTACATGGATATGGGCATTGCATCGGCACTAAACACATTTATTTAAAAACCAGTTGTTGGCATGACACGGGTTATGTTCTTCTCATATATGTTATGATGGTATGATACTTAACCCCTAACGGGAAGGATTGTGCCTGATATTCATATGATGAAGACATAATCTTTCAATCAGTTTAATTGAAGTCTGGAGCTGGCATGTCAGTTAACTGCTAGTAGTCTGTTGTTATTTATGTATTATTGTCATTTTGTTTATTTTCTTTGGTTACATCTTCTGACATCAGACTCAGACTTCTCTTGAACTGAATTTTAATGTGCGTATTGTTATGCGTTTACTTTTCTACATTGGCTAGAGGTATAGGGGGAGGGTTGAGATCTCATAAACATGTTTAACCCCGCCGCATTTTTGCGCCTGTCCCAAGTCAGGAGCCTCTAGCCTTTGTTAGTCTTGTATTATTTTTAATTTTAGTTTCTTGTGTACAATTTGGAGTTTAGTATGGCGTTCATTATCACTGAACTAGTATATATATTTGTTTAGGGGCTAGCTGAAGGACGCCTCCGGGTGCGGGAATTTCTCGCTGCATTGAAGACCTGTTGGTGACCTTCTGCTGTTGTCTGTTCTATGGTCGGGTTGTTGTCTCTTTGACACATTCCCCATTTCCATTCTCAATTTTATATAATCTATAGAATACTTTGAATATCAGCAAACGCACTATAAACTATATATACAACTTCAGACAGGAGTTTACCCATTTAATCTTTAAAAATCCTAAACTGAACCACTTTTAACCTTTTAATTCTGATGAAAAATTGCAATGATGAAGTAAAATTGAGAATGGAAATGGGGAATATGTCAAAGAGACAACAACCCGACCAAAGAGCAGATAACAGCTGAAGGCCACCAATGGGTCTTCAACGCAGCGAGAAAATCCCGCACCCAGAGGTGGTCCTCAGCTGGCCCCTAAATAAAATTGTGTACTGGTTCAGTGAAAATGGACGCCACACTAAACTCAAAAACATATAAAGGAACTAAAATAAAAAAACATACAAGACTAACAAAGGCCAGAGGCTCCTGACTTGGGACAGGCGCAAAAATGTGGCGGTGTTAAACATGTTTTGTGAGATCTCAAGCCTCCCCCTATACCTCTAGCCAATGTAGAATAAAGAAACACATAGCAATACGCACAGTAAAACTCAGTTTAAAAGAAGTCTGAGTCCGATGTCAGAATAGGTAACAAAAGAAAAAAAGCAAAATGACAATGATACACAAATTAACAAAGGACTACTAGCAGTTACTGACATGCCAGCTCCAAACCTCAATTAAACTGATTGAAAGATTATGTCTTCATCATATGAAAATCAGGTACAATACCTCCCGTTAGGGGTTTAGTATCATATCATATGAAAAAAAAAAAAATTTCATATAGGGCTTAACATTTTTTTCATCAGATATAATTCTACAATTCAAAGTACATTTGTAGCATTTTTTTTATGTAACCATTTTCTTTAAGTGACATGTTTATGGCCCAATTAACACCTTTGATGATCGTTAAACTGTTGATCATTCAATCTCTGGTTAATTAGTTTCATAACTTATAATTACATGCGTGCAACATTTAAAATGTTTACTTTGCAATTTCCTTCAATCGCGACAATTTGTAATCATAGATGAATCATTTTTTTTCCGAAAGCATATATAAAAAAATTGAATGTTGTTAGTAATGAAAGACGATCAAGTAAGTGAACATGATCTTAGGCCCAAGAACACAGTTATTTCGTAGTGCATTTCTTTTAGACAATAAAGTCAAATTAAAAAAATCGCACCTGCTCTATCTCAAAAAGATTTTTACAGTGTAGTGTACTACTATTAAGACAAATAATATCAAAATTATAGAAAAGTCTACCAGCTCTAACTCAAAATATTGACAATTCTATGTAAAGGGGGTCTAAAATTCAGTTTGACAGCTTCAGGCATACTAGTTTTTGACCTTTTTTAACTGGACCAAATCACTAATTTTCTTAAAGATTCAGCACCCAAATTTTTTTTACATGTAATTTCATCCCTTTACTTAGTATTTCATGCATAAAATATAAAGAAATGAATTTGGAAAGTGTATGAACAAAATTTGCTAGTTATACACTGTCCACACTACATGCACTAGGGACTTTATTTGTAGACAACGAAAATCTAAGGATGATAACTGTGTCCTCGGACCATGAACACCTTATTTTGCAATATCCCACAAATCATTATAAAACAACATATGACAATTTTCAAATTATCTTCCTTTTGTGATTGCTTCAAATACTTCACTCAATTTTTTACGGAAAACTAAAATCCATGAATTTAAGAACCCATGAACATGTAACTTTTGCTCAAACCTCAAAAATTGATACCCACAAATAAAAGTACTTCCACAGTACATGTACTAGGAACTTAATTTTTTTTCTCCCCAAAACCTATTTCTACATAATCTCCAAATGCTAATACAAATGTACCTGTTTCCTAATCTGAATCATGGACTGATAAGACACAGTAAATCCTGTAGCCATGACAACAGGTCTACTTGTTCCACCATCTTCTTTGGTTGCTATTGGTAACTGTATTTTATTTTTAACAACAACATGAGGTAATGTTAGATCATCTTCATCCTCAGTTTTATCGGGAAGAGCTAGAGACGTCAACTTATAGTCATTAGATATTAGAATGATTTCATTTACACCATCACCTTCTAAATCAGTAATAATTGGTGATGGTAACCGGTCCTCTAATGTGGGGTAGTCCTTGTTACTATAATAATGAGGCTCTACTCTTTTCCTCCATACAGGTTTCATTATGTAAGTGTCACCAGCTCGAAAAACATACGCTATTATTGCACACAGTACAATAAATATGACATAATTAAAGTTAAATTTCTTAAGATTCATCAGCTGTGATATTTCCATTGTCTGTTTCCTGTAAAAGAGATAAATATCTTTGACATAAGTGTATACTTTACAAAAATCTATAATGGGATACATAAGGCTAGCTAGCTAGTATATACATGTATTGTTCAAAGGCAAAGGGCAACATTCACTTTAAGCCAAACATGGACTTGAATTTTATCTTTATCATAAAATTTCAAAATGGCCATAATTAAGTTCATAAATGGATCCATTTCAAAAGCCTTTAATACTTAAAGGTTAAACAAATCTCTATATAAGCATGATAAGAGTCACCCTAAACTTCAAAGTCAGCATATTTTTTATATATTGTCAAAATACGATGATTTTGTGCATTTGTCGGACATAAAAGCTTGAGAAAATCCTTGGCAGCAACATAAGATCCAAAATTTTCTATAACCAAAAGTTGCCAATGATGATTTTGAATCCCTAAACACAAAAACTTTCTGGATCAGGGGTGGTGGCCAAAGTAAATTATGCTAAAAAATTATAAGAATTATTGAAAATTTGACCAAAATTGACGTTACAACTCAAATAATGCATATATTTAAGGGGTCGTTACTTCGTTATTTTTAATGTGATTTGTCAAAAAAAATTGTTTTGTATAAATAGTATTGTCTAAACTATTTTATGTGTAGTATTTTGGACTGATTAAACAACTTTAAAATCTTAGGGCCAGTTTTAATCCTTCATGAACTTACTCCTTTGCTGTAGCACTGTTTTTGGTTGTTTTTCAATTATATTTTCTTTTTCTTTGTGCTAACCAGAATAATTCTGTCCCTTTCCATAATTGATCACTCCTACTTGCAAGGGCCTGAACTAATTATATTTAAATCCTGAATCCTGAAGTTTGATTGGCACTCTCATTGGACAAGAGAGTCAATCAGCAGGCTGCTCAATTATATCTAGATATAGGCAATTCACAAGTTAAATCTGAATGATGAATTGATGATTTTATCAGGTAGGGGACAACCTGCCAAATGGGGAATAGTTCCCAAAAAGAGTATCTATCCCTGATATGAGGGAAACTTTCCTAGTGTTAAAAAACTAATTTTTTTAATACACATTTTATACTTCAAATGGCACATATTCAGGGGTTCAAATTAGCGGTGGTCCGAGGTCCGCGACCTTCCATTTTTGCAGTCGGACTCTCGTTTTGGTTAAAAGCTACGCCCGACGGACCTTCGGTTTGAAAGAAAATAAAAATAATCTTTGCCGACCTTTTTAAACAAAAATTTCCAAACAATCTCAAAATTTATTTTCATCATTATTATTCATGACAGCGCTGTTCATTTTGTTCAACCGCTAGCTTTATGCCGAAAATTGACAACTAGTAATGTGTAAATCCGAGTAAAATCGTATCTGACAGACAAAACAACATTGAAAAACATTGGATGCCAAAAAACCGGAAATTAAGAAAATAAAAAAAAACGGATCCGATTCCGGAGCGGATAAGGGTAATTCCGGGTTTGCCGATCAAATACAATGAAAAAATAATAATTCCAGGCAATTGACAAAATACATCTATGATGATAAAATATAAACACTAGAATTGAAAACCAAAAGATATATTGAAAAGAAAGAAAAAGTAGGAAATATTTATTTACAGAAACTCAAAATTACTTTTAGTTCATAAATTTTCATCTCAAAATCCAAAAAAATGTGACAGTAATTTTCTTTATCATTAATAAATATTGATATTACATGTAGATTTTTGTATAGTGTAAACGTATTACTACAATTCCAAGAGGTAATTTCTTCTCAATTTTAAAGGACCAGTACAAATCTGGAAGTTTCTTATCTTATTTTCACAGAGGAACTAATGCATTATAATAGTGCAACTAGATATGATACACTTAAACCAGAGACATATATACACATGTATATACGTCTCTGCTTAAAGAGCTTTGAATTTGAACTGTTTTATAAAATGGTTTAAGTACTAAGTAGTAATAAATTACCAATAGTTGAGACAAGACACCCACCCATGGTGACACCCTCCTCAATAACAAAAAAAAATATTATCTGAATTTATAATATACAAGACAATTACAATTGTTATTAAATATTTAATACAACAGTGACTTTGACAATGAAACAAGTTGACCTAACACCAACAGCACATTAATTTTGTTACTTGTATCTTACTATGTTAGGAAATATTTCAAGTAAAAATAGGACCTGGAATTTAGGTTGTGGACCTTTCAGTTTGGAGTGTCAAAGGTCCTGGACCTTCCAGTACCAAATGTTAATTTGAATCCCTGCATATTCATGAAAAATGCAGCAAATTTTCCATAAGATGAATAGCCATAACTAGATTTAATAAGAAGTTATATAATTTATAGCCTATGAAAACTTCCATAAATTTTCAAGAGCCCTACTAACATGACTAACTTTTTTTAAGAAAATTTTATTTTTAGCACTACCAAATGATTGCTCATTTGAGGGTATGTTACTCATTTGGGGAATAGTTCCCCATTTGGCAGGTTGTCCCCAACCTTTTTAGATTGACTGTGCATTCGTGCCTTAATGTAGCCATTGTAGAGCAGCGGAATATAATTAATTAACGTATGAACTCTTCTGGTATCTCTTTGCAATTAGTTATATGCTGGACGAAGGGAACAAACAGGTTAGAATAGTCAATTACATGTAGGTCTATACCACTATGGTCATGATGGTACTGAAAGACCTTCAACATCATGGTGGAAACATGATGGCAGGCAATAAAACTCTTTCCAGTATTTGTTCCTTTTCAGGGTTTTTTGTAAAACATCATAAAGGAGGGTAGGAATGGGGTACCCCTAATGAAGATTGACATTAAAATATTTGTTAAAACGTTAACAATATTAAGTTATTTTACTGAAATTTACTCCATTTGACTCTTACAGTAGCTACAAAATGAGATTTGATGAATGACAATTAATTTGACGCTAATGGTAGCGAAAAACAGACGTTTGACGCTTTATGATAAAGGGCATTCATACCCTCACAAAGGCACATATATGTATCATGCCTCTATATTATCATTTTTTAAATTGTCCATTTGGGCAAGTTGCAAGAAAATCAACTTGTCCGACTTCAAAACTCACTTGCCCAAATCAAAAGTTCAAAAATTTAAATAATGCTGTGAGTGTCCTTCCCTCCTGATACATTTATTAGATATACAAACTTTAGATCTCTCAAGCACTCCTGATGAATATTAATCAACATGATCAAGGCAATCGCTTTATACACAATTAATTTATTGTTTACAAAATTCCAATTTTATGTCTTTTTGACATATAATTCGGTGTCCTTATCAAAGCGCATATATGAGTCTTGGACACGATTTTTTGTCTAGATGTGCCATATCATTAATCTGTGCATCCTTGGGATGCATCCTGGTTACATTAGCTGACTCTTATCATTATCAATATTATCCTTTAGCTGTTAAATAGTATCCAAAAATATGCTTGTCAATATATTTATACCAATATATATATACCAGAAATTGACTTCAGTTATCATGCATGCTTGCAATAATGGTAAATTCCAAGAGAAATGAAAAGTGATGATCCCATTGATCACATGACAGGTATACACTCATCCTATCAAACCAGAAGAAATAGAAATTTGTTTACCTTTACGCACGTTTACCTGCAATCTAGTTGTCAAAGAAGATAATTAATTATTGAATGATTGCAAACCACTGTAAATTAATAATTACGTTATGCAACTCTTTAGAAATAATGTAAACTTAATAATAGTAGGTCAATCAAGGGAATAAGTTCTAATAGACCACTTTCGAGTTTGTTGCATTTGCGTCAAAAACTTTGGTTTTAGTGAACATCATTTGACATTTGTGCGTTTAGGGGTATCGTCATTCCTTCCAATGTTGAGCGAGCAGTTGAAAAAATATGATGCTATATTGCACGAATTATTCAGCAAATCAAATTCTTATAATTGACCATCAGCCCTGCTGTCATTCGGGAATTGCGATTAAGTACCTACGGAACAAACATTATTTCTAGTTTATCCTGCACAATGATGATCACAAAGACGATTGATGAACTTTAATAGTGCAGGGATACAAGCAATCCCCTCTATCTGGTAAATTACGTCATAAATGCATGCATAATTGACGGAACTTTTCCGGTGAGGAACATTAATCGAAAGTGGTCTATTGATGATTTTTCTCTCGTCTTATATGTTGATTCTACTTGTCCGACGCCTACTTTACTCCTCCTGGACAATCAGACAAACAGTAATGTCGAGCCCTGTGCATGATTAATATGAAAAATTTTAAAACAAACATGCACCAATAACCTTCGATTGCATCTGCCTGAGCCTCATACTTAATATCATGTCCAGTAGTTTGGGCACTTCCAGTTGTAAATACAAACAGTATTTTGGCTTTTTATTTTTATTTTAACATGATAAACTACTAACAATAACATGTAATTTGCTAAAATATTTGAGATATTGGGCCTGTGGGATTTTTTTTTTTCTCTCTCTAACTCAAAGAGAGAAACATTTTCAATATTCAGACTAAATATTGAGATTTCAAACAATCTGAAAAGTTATCATCTATGCAAAAAGATATTATATTGCATATTTATAACGTACAAACTTGTAAAAAATTAACTAAAAGGTTTTCCTTCTTGTGATTGTTGCAAATTAAGTCTGTCTATCCTGGAAAAAGTGCCTTGGAAAATACATAAAATCAATCTCAGTTAAAATGTTGAAAGAAAAATTAAACAACTTTTTTTTTTAAATTCTCTTGAATGAACTAATGTTATAAAAATGTTTTAGCAAAATAACTAAGTTGTAATCTTTGAAAAAATACAAATTTATAAAGGTATGATCAGGTACTTCTTATTAATTTGGGTGTACCCAGAATTTTGGAAAAAAACGGTACTATAAAGAGTTCATTGTATGTTGGATTTCTATCTTTTTGATGTTATGAATCAAGCCAAAAAATAAAAATAACAAGTCTTTATCATTTATATGATAATTTACATTCAATCAATATTAATCCTTTTGATACAAATTCAAATTTATGTTGAAAATAAATACACATGTCGTAATTAATTGAGAGGAAAATTAACACTTCAGTGTAGATTTTTGTCTTCAGCTTCGGATTTTTTATATTCCTGTAGATTATAATATATTTGTTGACTATATATTCAAAACGCATTTAAATTTATAATGTCAGAGTTGGATGATGAAGATATGGTGTGGGACCCTGAGGAGATAGGCGGAGAGGTGACTGTTCTATAAATAATTTATGATCATGATGAGCATTGTTGATTTCAAGATTTGTTTATGCCTCTACATGTTAATATTTATAATACCATTTGTGAATCTATTTCAGTGATATATTCACACGAGCTTATGAGAGCCTGTGATTTATTATTTTTTTTAATATTTTGTAACTACCATACAGTCATACTCTTCAATTATAAGAAAGTTTAATTTAAGACCACTTAAATTCTAAATTCTTATTTGTAAATATATCCAGTTCTTACTTAACTTATTCTTACACTTCAGCACATTATGAATATTATTTTTAAAATTTCATGATGACAATCCTATGAATTAGTTATAATATTAATTTTTAGTAATTATTATTGCCTAAATTCAGTCATCTGTACATAATTAAATGCTTCCTTATGTTCTAAGGTGTATATAGTTGCTACAATTATACCCTATGGGTAGTGCTCCAAAATTAATGGAGGAATATACAAGAAACTGAACTGAACTGAACTCTTCAATAATTGACAAGCTCTCTTTTATTTTTGTAGTTATTATAAGTAACCAATCACTTCTCCTCGTATACTGTTTGAGTACTAGTTTATGAATCTGGGTCCATTCGCCCAAAAACACGTTTGCTCCCATTCACGTTCGCCCCCCTTTCATGGTCGCACCCTACACGTTAGCACCCTGGGTCCGTTTGCACCCTACACGTTTGTACCCTTTTTATTGGTTTTGTGTTAAATAATTTTTCAATTGTTTTTTGGTTAGTGTATTGCTATAAATATTTTTTTTTTGTTCATTGTTTCAAAATGAAGTGACTTTCTAAAATCGATTTTTGTGTTTTTAAAATAATTTTTTAATTGTGTTTTGTTATTGTATTGCTATAAATAAAGTTTTTTTTTTCATTGTTTCGAAATAAAGTGACGTTTTTGTGTTGAATATTTGTTTAGTCATGTTTTGGTTAGTGTATAGCTATAAATAAGTTTTTTTCCATTCCTTATCTTTTCTCCATAGCGTATTGAATGTCTTGTTGTAAAAGTGCTTGTTTGAAACGTTCCTTATGATCTATCAATACTTTTCGTGCGGTACTTCGTGCTGACGTGATGGGTTCATCATGCAATATTGAACCCATTGCATAAATCTGGCATACTTCTATTATCTTCTTAAAAATACTTTGATTTTATTTTTAAAATTGGTTTTGTTTGATCCAATCAATTTTCATGACTTGGAAATTCTAATTTTCTTTTTTTTTTCTTTTACCACGTACCTTGTGAGAAGATAAGGTGCAGTGACATGACATCATCACTTTATGACGCCATCGATTTTAGAAAACTGACTGTAGTCTTATAAAGAAATAGCTTGGCTTACATGTACTTCATTGTCTTCAGTCAGGGGTACTACTTGTACAAGTTATTTTCATTTACTTGAAGAAATAAATACTCATATACTTATATAGGTATATTTGTTATATTCATATTTTCTTACAAGGTTTGAATAATCTCCCCTTAACATGCTTAATCAATGTACTTGAATAAGTTTTTTTTTTTTAGAATCCCTAAAATTTTCAAGTTTTGGGATGTAACACATGTCTTAAATAATTTTTCTCTGGTTAGCTCATAATTTTTTATTAGAGTTCAATGTTTCATCTCATTAATTCAACAAAGAAACTAATTGTGCAAAGATCTTAATTAATTGCACAAGGCCTTCAAAAATTGCCCCTTGGAGGCTTGTAAAAGAACAGTGTTTTGAAGATGACAGACAAATGCGATTTTCATTGTCCATGAAATTACACTTAAATGATTAGTTAAGACATCTGCAAAGGACAGACAATTAAAAATTCTATTAGAGCAAAGATGTCCTGAGAAATTCAAGAAAAGAAGATAGTATAACTTTTTTACTTGTATAAGTAAAAAAATCTGAATGTCTAAGGGACAAAACTAAGCCATTAAAATAATTTATCTATACAAGTAAATAAAATAAACTTGTATAAGAAGTATCTTACAAATTTACTTATATAAACATGATAAATATATTAATATTTACTTCTTCAAGTAAATAAAAATAACTTGTACAAGTAGTACCCCTGACTGTAATTTTGATTAAAAAAAAAAAGTTAATTAATTCTAGAATCAATTTCTATGATCCCCTTCATTGTAATGAAACTTACTGATTCCAGGTGACATAAATTTGAGATCAGTTCAGATTGTGGGAAAGTCTGAGAGATTCAAAACTTATGGACAGAAGGATGACATAGTTGGTTCAATTGACAAATCTCCATCTCTTTTTGCCTCAAAACAGCAAAATATGACAATAATTTTCAAATTAATAAGAAATTTCTATAATTCAGGAACTAGATTCATAAGTGACAGTGATTGGTCCTCGTACCCATAAAATTTCAAGCAAAAATCGGCAAACTAGCAACCTGCTTTTTATTGTTCAAAAGAGGAATTCTAGTCCCAGCCTGTGGTCCTAGACCTAACTTATGATAACCCTTTCCATGTTAAAAAAATATTTCCAAAAGCATTTCCTGTTAACATTTATTTTAGAAAAACTTTGAATTTGTGATGGTTACTGGTACTCGACCAGTATACTTTGTTATGTCAGTGGCGCTTTAAAAAAAGATAATTCAGCCAATAAATGCATTTTCAGGAAAAATTTGACGTCACAAAGCCATCTAGCAAAAATATCTTCACATTACAATGTCCTATGACACGTTTTTCCCCAAATGACCCTATGTCTACCAGGGCAGTTCATTCATAAAACTGAAATTGCAAAGTCATCTATTATAATTTACAAATATAAATGGGTAAAATCAAGTAACAACATGAACAAAAGTGACAAATAAAATTACATTGTATATTACTAAACAAAAATTATGTTTCGGTTGATCCACTTAAACAGTCTGTCTCCTTTAGACAAAGAATTATTTGAATCTGGAATAATTTTGAATTCTTGAAAATTGATAAGAAATGTATGGTGAAAACTAACCCAACTTTAGTGGGTTATCCATGCGTGCATGGCTAAGGTTCAAGTTACTTTCATTGATATTTCACTATGAACTAACTACCCCCCCCCCCTCCCCCGTAGCCATGCAAACATGGCTAACCCTATTTAGTTGGGTTGATTTCCATCAAACATTTGTTATCAATTTTCCAGAATTCAAAATTATTCCAGATTCAAATAATTCCTTGTTTTTATGTAATCTGCTGATGTCTATCTAAAGTAAATTATCTAAACTAATAGAACTGACAGGTTATAAAATGTTTTTTTCTCTCCTGCATTTATATGTTCCTTTTGGTTGCAGGCTGCACATTTTTGAGAGATGATTTATTAATAGCCTTGTATGCATTGAGCTTTGAATACTGGTTGTAAACAATCTATTTGAACATTTTTCTTCAATGGGAAGTCTTTCTTTACATTATTTTGACATCTGGATGCAATCTGAATTAATGACAACTTCACATTTTTTAGCTTTTTTGTATTAACAGTAATAAATTACTGTTGAAACTGTTTTGATATCCTGCTTTGTAATTGTTGTCTCTTTTTTTAATATTAATGTTAAAGTTTCTGCTTCTTTTGCTAGGGTGTCAGCCTTTTTATTTCCTCGTTTGTCTGCATTTCTAGGAATCAAGCTAAAGGTTTTTTGTACATTGTACATGTAATTCTGTGTTTTTAAAAAAAATAATATTTTAACTTTGAGTCACTGATGGTTTGGTGGTAGATGGCTATGTAACAGCTAAATCAGAAGAATGAAAAGAGAACTACATGTATAAACAAAATGATATATGTTTTGTAGATGTCTGACCATGACATAGATGGTGAAGATGAAGAAGAGAACCAAGCCATACAGGATGGTTGTCTGCAGATATTCTCCGCCAGTGATTTCATCATGGAACCAGGAGTCTTTAACATGCTTAAAACGTAAATATCATCTATATATTTAGCATAAACCTATCATTGACAAACAGTTTTATTATCAAATGAGTCAAACTATTACAATAAATGAATGCAGTATCCATAGTCATGATAGTGAATTGATTGATTTATTTGAATAGTATTAATTAGCATGCTACAATGTAATATAAAAAGCTGATTATATATTACCAGATAAGATTCGATGCAGCATAGAACCTTATTTTACCTCCAACTTAATCAGTACTAGGAAAGAGTTAATGAGATCATCTATAATTGTCTATACTTCTTATTTTGATCAGATTTTTACAAGCTGGAGGTTCACCAGAGAAAGTAGTAGAGTTATTATCAGAAAACTACAAAGCCGTTGCACAGACTGTGAATTTGTTAGCAGAATGGCTCATACAGGCTGGTTAGTAATTGTTCCTTATTATGACATACAGACTTGAACTGTGACCTAAAGTTGCTTACATCTACATCATTTGGTTATTAATGGAAAGTTGACTTTTTGGCAGTGTCCAGATATTTTTATTTTACTATTGAAAGTAAAATTGTGACATTGTTTTAAGGACAGCTCATATATGCTTGTAGGTCATCTTTTAATTGGGAGATGGGACGAGTGCTTAATTAAACCTAGTTATTTTGTTGTTGAAATGACTTTCAAGTTGATAAAACAGTTGTATTTAAAAGGATTTTTATGCTCACGCTGCGGTGGAGGGGGCATTAAGTTTAACCATTGTCCATCTGTATGTCTGTAGTCCCAAAATTAGTTTTTAGTTTCCCTGAATCAAATGTTAAGAAACTTATACACAATGCTTATTACCACCAAACACAGATCAAGATGGAATATGGGTGGCGTCACTTAAGCTGTTCTCAAGTTATGTCCCTTTATAAATTGAAAGATTGGCAAATTGATGAAACTTATACACAATGCTTACAACCACCAAACGAAGGTCAAGTTTGAATTAGAGTGGCCTCACTTTCACTGTTCTTGAGTTATGTCCCTTTATAAATAGAAAAATAGAAAAAATCCCATGGACACATACTTCTTATTTTATTATTTAGTTTTACGCAACTCCTTTTATAGTCAAGAACATTGAGATATAATGTCATGAATGTTAAATCACAGACACTATAATAATATTATCTATTCATTAAACTCCTGTCCTTATGTTCAATTTTTCAATCTCCCACTTTCAGAAAAATGTTATTGAAAAAAAAACATTTCATGCAATTCATATTTTGTTTTCTTTCTTATCATACACCTATTTTGATATTTAACAGATCATTTTTTTGGTTTTAGGAGTAGATATAAAAGTTGTTCAAGAAATGGTTGAGAACCATCTAAAGACAATGATTGTAAAACATTTTGATCCAAAGAAAGCAGATTCTATATTTACAGATGAAGGAGAGGTATATCTAAGTTAGCAAATAGAGCAATGTCTATTATTCTTCTCTTGCTTGAAAACTAAAAGTAGTAGACATATATCTAAGTTATTAACTATACCAATTATTCTTGCCTTACATGAAGATTTGAAACAGATTAGAAACACCTTGTTATTGAGGATGATTGTGAATATGTTTCTTAGCATGTACAATATAGAGTTTCATATGAAAAGTACTTGTAGAAATATAAATCCATTTTATTGAAAGTAATTTTAAAAAATTAATATCATGCACTGATCATACATCCATATGATTAACTAATTCACAGGTAAAAATAACAATTCCTAGTGTGACCCCAAATAATTTAAATCATGTATATGACAAAACAAGACATTATTTTATTAAGACAACCTCAAGTGACCATATCTTTTGTAGATAACAATTAGGTCATTGTAATTCTTTGTATTTTGTAGACTCCCTCTTGGTTGGCTGAGATGATTGAATACCCTACATGGAGAGGATTATTTTACAGATTAGCGGAGGAATATCCAGATTGTTTAATGTTGAACTTCACTGTTAAGGTAGGCAAAATATCTCTATTAATTGTAAACAAAATTTCTTATTTTTAAAGTTAAAATATCTCATAATAACAAACGATCTAACTATTAAGGTAAACATGGTAAATGAAATCTATACCACATACTAAACATGTTTGGAAAATTGGCCATGTCTGTTGTTTCCACTTTATTTCTGTTACAACTTATCTAAGATGCATGATTCCAGGTTGAAGATAACCTCTGTCTCTACAGCTTGCCATGAGGTAGCGCACAGTACCATGTCTGTTGTAGATGCTATATTTTCTGTTCCAGCTTTTCTCAGATGCAAAATTTCTAAGAGGAGATAACCTCTGTCTCTACAGCCTGTCATTAGATAGACCAATGTATAATGTCTGTTGTATACACAATATTTTCTGTTACAGCTTATCTCAGATGCAGGATTCCAAGGGGAGATAACCTCTGTCTCTACGGCATGTCATCAGATAGAAGTATTCTCCAGAGTTCTACGGACCACTATTTCTAGTCTGTTAAATGGAGGAGAAGAATTGTTGGAAAAAAATCTCCCAGAATTTACAGTAAGAATTATGCTTGTTATAATTATCATTAATTACATTTTTCAAACCTTAATTAGTTGTTTCCATGCACTTCCATACAAAAAAATATTTATATCTTATTATCAAAAGTGGTTTGGTTTCAAAAACTGCTCTTAAATGTTTGGTAGTAAAATCTTTTTAAAAATTGAAATAACTCAGGAAAATCAAATATTATAAAAAATAGTTGCAATAAGTCATTGATGACAGTACTATCATTTACCTTAGACACCGCACTTATCTTTCATCTGGATCACTACATCAGATATTGTCTTGTCTCACATTATCTCTAACACCTGACTTGCGTGATGACAATTTTACTGAATCCACCAAAATTATTGATATGCTGAATTATGTATTGTATTTGTTTTAGAAAATGGTTTGTCATGGAGAACATACCTATCTGTACAGTCAAGTATTAATGCAGATATTGTCACAGGAACCAAAAGGTGGATCTAATATTAGAAGGTTGTGTCAGGAACTACAGAAATCTGCCAATGAAAGGTATACAACCACTAAAATCATCGATTTGAAATCTATTTTGTATTCACTTGTAAACATTATTTTCCCCAGTAAATGGTTTTCAATTTATATATTACATGTATTAGAGGGGGTAGGAGTTCCTTGAAAAATGAAGCATTCTTTCCTGGATCCCGAAAAAATTGATCATTAATTCCAGAGTCTCCCGCAAAAATAAAAGACCAATCCCTACGTCCTTCAGCTCCTCATATTAGGATTGGCTACTCTTTAGTTTCTACATGTCACTATGGTCCATCATATGTGGAAGAGTAAAGGCAGATATTGTGTTAAATGTTAGTAAGACAGCAGTTCAACAGCAACAAATAGAGTAACATACACTGGGACTGCAAATCCAACAAAATTTATTAGATTGTTTATTATCTTTATACTTTAATATGTTAATAGCGTTCATTGAGTGGAAACTTTAATAAACGGTGGATAACAATTTAGTGATAAGATGTCACTGTAATATACTGGTAGAGGGGAGCTGACTGTAAAATAATGTCATGTGCCAGACCAGATAAATTTGATCAATTTGTCACAATTTTTTTTTAACATTACAACATTAATCTTGAAAATGTCCCATATATCCTGACCACCTCAATATGCAAATTTGCATGTACTAGTTTATAAACTTTTATATGTTGTGTAGCAGCCTACCCCAGTGCTTGTCAAACTTTATCTTTACACTGCTACTTGATATATATATATATTATTGTGATTACAGAGGATTGGATGTAACCCCTATAACATTAGCCTTGAGTTGTGCAGCAGCCTACCCAAGGGCTTGTCAAACTTTATCTTTACACTGCTACTTGATATATATATATATATATATATTATTGTGATTACAGAGGATTGGATGTAACCCCTATAACATTAGCCTTGAGTGGTGCAGCAGCCTACCCCAGGGCATGTCAAGCTTTATCATCAATGTTGTCAAGGAATGCATTAAATCCAGCAGATATTACTATTGTATGTATCAAACTCTTCTTACCCAGTATTATTCTTTACAGCATTCACCACTGATTTAGAAGTGTGTCATAGCTCATATGAAGAAACTTGTGGCATCAAATAATAAGTTGATGTTTTACTTATGAATTCTGAAAAACTAAGATTTAAACAAAAATATGAAATTTTATCTGGAAAACTGCATTTATTTCTGAGTTTAATGATGAAAATTTCATAAAAATTGGTTGGGAAAGGAGATCAAAGTATTTTTTTTGTAAACTTCGAAATTTGTATAGAATGATAGGAAACATATTAAAAAAGGATTGACTTTAGTCCACATACTGAACAAGGGAAAACATTTTCCGTTTGTTACTCAAGCAATTTTGATTTCAACAGCTAACAAAATTAAAAAAAAAAACAAATAAAGTTTCCCACTTCCAGGAATACTGTCAATTCAGAAATTATTGTGAGATTTTTTTTAATGCAAATAATGCAACAGAGAGATTCACAATAATAAAAACTCGCATTATGATATCTGATACATATTCTGTTTGCAGATTTTCCTGAAATCACGATGATTAATCTCACATTTTTGTCCATTCTGCAAAAATCGCAATAACAAATGCACGCATTAATTTCTAAATTAATAGTATCTTTTAACACACGAATGGTTTTTCAGAAACATCCAGAGATTCTTAGTTATCAATAATAACTTCATTTAAAGATATGACCAATTTTTCTTGAATATTTCATTCTTGTTTACTGGCAAATTAAAATTTCTAAGTCAACAATGTTTTCTTTTTCAGTTATACAAAATGTACACAGACATGAACCCACCACCAGTTGATTTGATCAGGGTACCAGCGTTCCTTGGTAAGATTTACTTAAATGCAGATATATTTACTTGAATTCAAAAAATGGAGGTGGGGGACCACAAGGATATTTCTTTTATGCTTGACTTCAAAACCTAATAGATATCAGCTTTATTTGCATCACAGTTTTATTTTCAAGTTTCAAATCTATTCAATAATCCTGTTTCTTTTTCCAATAACACATAATGGATATATCTTATATTGAGATACATCTTATATTGTGTAATTTTGCATCTTGGTATGGTTTTTATACGACCGCAAAAAAATTTTTGTGGTCGTATATTGGTATGACGTTGGCGTCGTCGTCGTCGTCGTCGTCCGAAGACGCATTAGTTTTCGCACTCTAACTTTAGTTTAAGTGAATGGATCTCTATGAAATTTTACCATAAGGTTCAATACAACAAAAGGAAGATGGGGATTGATTTTGGGGGTTATGGTACCAACAGTTAAGGAATTAGGGGCCAAAAAGGGGCCAAAAATATGCATTTTCTAGTTTCCAGACAATAACTGTGGAACGGTGTATGGATCTCTCTGAAATTATACTACAAGTTTCCATACGACAAAGGGATGGTTAGGATTTGCTTTGAGGGGTTATGGCTCAAACCGTTTAAGAATTAGGGGCAAAAAAGGGGGAAAAACAAGGTTGTCCTGGTTAATGGACAAATACTTTAGTACAAAACATAATTTAAAGCAGTGTAAGGGAGATAAATCAAATACATCATTGAAATTATCTCCCTTACACTGCTTTTAAATTATGTATAAAGTAATGGTTAATGAACAATTAAGATAATTTAAAACAGTGTAAGGGAGGTAATCCAAATACAACGTTTTGGTTACTTCCCTTACACTGCTTTTAAATTATGTTTAAAGAAATGCATATTTATAAAGGAAGACCAGTAAAAATATCTGCAAATGTTGCATTTTTTTTTTTTACAAAAAAATCCATATGAAAGATTTGACACTATATTTTAAATTCTATTATAAAATAGATTAAGTTAGCACTATGGTAAATTTAAATGGGTAATTATGGTTTGGGGGAAAAAATGGGGGGGGGGGGTAAAAAGAAATTGTGGGGGGTCAATTTTTTCTCATTTCAGATTTCAGAAATTAAAAAGAATTATTCTTCAAATATTATTTTTTTTTCAAATTTCAAATATTGAAAAATTTCAAGAAGTAATCTTTAATTGCACAGTATGGCGCATTAGATTTGTAAAATCTTTGACCACATTTATTTATTTGTTATGCCGAATCTAACGATGTATTTAGATTTTTAATTTTGGATCCAGTTTTCAAATTGGTCTACATTAAGGTCCAAAGGGTCCAAAATTAAAATTTGTTTGATTTTAACAAAAATTGAATATATGGGGTTCTTTGATATGCTGAATCTAAACATGTATTTAGAAATTCGATTTTTGGCCCAGTTTTCAAGTTGGTCCAAATTGGGGTCCAAAATTAAACTTTGTTTGATTTCAACAAAAATTGAATATATGGGGTTCTTTGATATGCTGAATCTAACCATGTATTTAGATTTTTTATTTGTGGACCCCGCTATCAAATTGGTTCATATTGAGGTCAAAAGGGTCCAAAATTAAACTTTGTTTGATTTCATCAAAAATTGAATTATTGGGGTACTTTGATATGCCAAATCTAACCGTGTATTTAGATTTTTAATTTTGGGTCCCGTTATTTAAATTGGTCTACATTAAGGTCCAAAGGGTCCAAAATTAAACTTTGTTTGATTTTAACAAAAATTGAATTCTTGGGGTTCTTTGATATGCTGAATCTAAACATGTGTTTAGATTTTTGAATATGAGCCCAGTTTTCAAGTTGGTCCAAGTTGGGGTCCAAAATTAAACTTTGTTTGATTTCAACAAAAATTGAATATATGGGGTTCTTTGATATGCTGAATCTAAACATGTATTTAGATTTTAGTTTTTTGGCCCAGTTTTCAAGTTGGTCCAAACTGGGGTCCAAAATTAAACTTTGTTTGATTTCAACAAAAATTGAATATATGGGGTTCTTTGATATGCTGAATCTTACCATGTATTTAGATTTTTTATTTGTGGGCCTGCTATCAAATTGGTTCATATTGAGGTCAAAAGGGTCCAAAATTAAACTTTGTTTGATTTCATCAAAAATTTAATTATTTGGGTTCTTTGATATGCCAAATCTAACCGTGTATTTAGATTTTTAATTTTGGGTCCCGTTTTTTAAATTGGTCTACATTAAGGTCCAAAGGGTCCAAAATTAAACTTAGTTTGATTTTAACAAAAATTGAATTTTTGGGGTTCTTTGATATGCTGAATCTAAACATGTGTTTAGATTTTTGATTATGAGCCCAGTTTTCAAGTTGGTCCAAGTTGGGGTCCAACAAAATTAAACTTTGTTTGATTTCAACAAAAATTGAATATATGGGGTTCTTTGATATGCTGAATCTAAACATGTATTTAGATTTTAGATTTTTGGCCAAGTTTTCAAGTTGGTCCAAATTGGGGTCCAAAATTAAACTTTGTTTGATTTCAACAAAAATTTAATATATGGGGTTCTTTGATATGCTGAATCTTACCTTGTATTTAGATTTTTTATTTGTGGGCCCGCTATCAAATTGGTTCATATTGAGGTCAAAAGGGTCCAAAATCAAACTTTGTTTGATTTCATCAAAAATTGAATTATTGGGGTTCTTTGATATGCCAAATATAACCGTGTTTTTAGATTTTTAATTTTGGGTCCCGTTTTTTAAATTGGTCTACATTAAGGTCCAAAGGGTCCAAAATTAAACTTAGTTTGATTTTAACAAAAAATGAATTCTTGGGGTACTTTGATATGCTGAATCTAAACATGTGTTTAGATTTTTGATTATGGGACCAGTTTTCAAGTTTGTCCAAGTTGGGGTCTAAAATTAAACTTTGTTTGATTTCAACAAAAATTGAATATATGGGGTTCTTTGATATGCTGAATCTAACCATTTATTTTGATTTTGGACATTGGACCATAATAGGTAAATTAAAAATATTGAAGTTCTTAGACCACATTTTTTCTGTGTCAGAAACCTATGCTGTGTCAAATATTTAATCACAATCCAAATTCAGAGCTGTATCAAGCTTGAATGTTGTGTCCATACTTGCCCCAACTGTTCAGGGTTCGACCTCTGCGGTCGTATCAAGCTGCGCCCAGCGAAGCATTTTATTGCACTTAGAATTGTGAATTTCAGCAGTAGGGAAACAAGGAGACTGAAGAGTCTTTGAGAAGAACAATCTACATGGAATAACTGAATTTATTAAAATTGAAATTTTGTCAATCAGTTATAAGTTTTGCAGAAAGTAATTATCTGGTGTCTGTTCTCAGATACAAATAAAAGTCGGGTCTGTTGTTAAAATGTGTGTATCTAAATAAGCAGGGGGTCAGGGTTAAAATCTGTTGTTGAAATGTGTATATCTGATTATGGAGAGGGTCATGGTAACAACTGAGCCTCAAGCCCAGTCTGATATATCTTGGGACTAGATACTAAGTCTTATACAACAGATTTCAATATATCCTCTTCCTACTGTTGAAATAATTTTATCTGTGGAATCCAATTTTATACTTAGTTGAAAAATCATTTAAATAGTTTGTGGGGATTTTTCAGGGTAAAAATTGCCTGAAATGCAATCAAAACCCTTATGTTACTGGCTTCCTATCTATATCTTCCAGGCCTCATCACTAACTTTTATTGTTAAAAAAACAAAGTGCAGTGAGATAAACATGCTTAAGATCCTATCTACCCAATGTCATACAATTTATTAATTACTGTGGATTCATTTATTTTTGTGGGTATAAATTTTCGTGGATTGAGGAAAACTTGTTTTTTCGTGGATATTTGATTTCATGGTTTTGCCAATCTCTGCATACAAAACCTATAGAAAATTTGTAATTCGTTGAACATTTGAATTCTTGGTTCAACTGTACCCACGAAACCAACGAAAATTGGTATCCAACGAATAATAATGAATCCACAGTATATATTATACTCAGATATTTATTCAAGTTACAAAAGATGTGTATTTGTATAACCATACTTGTCATGAAAGCTATTCTATTTAAAAATTACATAATGTGTACATGACATATGAATCAATTTGTTATTAAAAAAAAACCAAATAGGTTTGACTACAATTATACAATAAAAAACAAAGAAAGATAACTTTAATTCAAAATATATAATTTGCTTACATGTTTTCAATTGCAAAATACAATTCAATGTATAATTTCAATTGCAAAATGAAAGCAATATTTACTCTTCAGTGCTCACAGGCACTTTGATTTAATTCATTGTCTTAGTGAAAACACACAAGTCAATGGAAAAATTCATCTTTATTTACTAACAAATATTCATGGTATAGAACTTTAACAGTATGTTTTATTTCATTTTTTAATTTCAGATTTACTGATAGATGCCATGTTCAAACCAGTATCAAAAGTGAACCCTGAACATAAAGCTAAATATATATATGTTTTGTCATATGCTGCAAGTGTCACAGAAACATATAAGAAGGTATTGATAAATGCTTATAAATAGCATACATTTATTTAATACCTTTGAGTGCCTGAATTGGAAAGGTAATGTATGTTTGACATTTCCAAAGCAAAAATTGAAGGGAATCAGTTTTTATCCCTGAGGAAACCCCTAAAATTATCCTGTAGAGTGAGACAAAAGGTTGTCCCCAGGTCATCAATACATATTACTGTGTCAAGATGAAAAATGGGAAGACAACCCCTGATAATCAGACTTATTCTGAAAAGTGATACATTTGTGAATTGTGTACTACTATGCCTCTGGTTTTGTTTATATATGTTGCATATTGTATTTTGTGTTGAAGTTTAATGTGTTGCAATTGAAAATATATACAAATTTTAATTCTTCCATTTCAAAATTTGGACAAAGCAATATTTATTGTAACATCACAAAGTGATCTTTTGTAAATTTTCAAATCTGCCAACTTTCATCACCATTTGTATTCATTATCAGCACAGCTGGTAAAAGGAGCCATTTTCAGCTTTTAACATATCTCTGTGTCAGATGTAAGTTTTCTGTCTGTCCATCCTATAGAAGTGTTATCTCTTGTTGTGTTCAAATTTACTAAAAATATAACATCATTTATATTACTCTGTGTCTGTGAGATTTAGATGGTACTGGTGTTTTAGACCATTACAAACATTAACAAGATTTAAGTTCATTGAAAATAATGCTATAACAAAAAATTTTTTTTGTAGGGACAAAGAAAATCAATCATTAAAGATGAATTGAAACCAACTACACAAGCCTTAGAGAAGGTTCAGTCATTGTGTGCTGAGAACAAAAATTCTTCTGAACTTATTGCAGATGTCAATGTATTATTTCTGAATTTAAAGTAAGAATTTCATACAAGTTTAGTAGTATTCGTCAGTTAACGAAAATTTGTGAAAACTTAGATGCTAGCAAAAAGAGTCCAAATTCAATAATTACTTTCCGGATATTTCAAGACAAACACTTTAATTTTTCACATTTACAAATATTTTTGGTTTATAACTCATATGAAAGGAATTATGATTTAATAATATAAATTTCAAAGTTTTGTCTAAACTACACAAAAATCCTAATTAGCTGATCCATTGTGTGATTGTTTTTTTCTGAATTGCTTCAAGGCTAACTAAGAGTTACTCCCTCTCTTGGATGAGACACTTTTAACAGTAACAGTGATGAAATGAAATTTTCTAGCAAAAGTTATACTTTGTATTGGGAATCACAATAGGTGAATGATGAGATAGAAGCAGAGAAACTCCTTCATCTTTTCAGAACAATAGATAATCTTTTAATCCGACTCTTTATCTTATAAATAGACAAGCCTTTATTTTTTTCTTAATTGTAAGTAGAAAACTATAATGTACCAAGGTAGTGCAATTCAAAAATTAATCATAAATAAAAAAATAAAGGCAACTCCATGATAAAAATAAAATGTGTCTCCATATGAGATTCTCTGGAAGGGTAATCTGCTTTGTGTTCCTCGTGTGAGATTCCGCCTATGTATGTAGATTTGTAGATATGGGTAGTTGTAGCAGTTTGCCATGGTGTCTAATATTGTTGACTCTTCATGTTGTCTGTTTGCTATTACTATCCAAAGATTCAAGATAACTGTATAGATTCTATATTTTACAGATTTCCTGTGATAGCCTATGGTGTGTTGAAATGGGTGGACTATACAGTTTCAGATACCAACTACTTCAAATTAAACACAGACCATACTCCGCTACATTTAGTCCTTATAGATGAGGTAGAATAATAATATTCTCTGTGTCTGAGTTTAAAATTGTATAGTGCTTGACAGGCCATGGTAAACAGTATAAACCTTATATTGACATTTCATTGATTTCAGAATATATAGTTACATCCAGAATAACTTATGTATTATTTTGGTTTACGCTAAAGCTTATCTTCCTGAATATGAATGAAACATTTGCCACTGGCATTTCAGAAAGCATCTATCAAGCATTGTAAGCACTGAAAAACAACCTAATGAGGGGAGGTAACTTATGATATATATGTAACACTCCCAAACGTGTCCATCCCCCCAAACGTGTCCGATTCCCCCAAACGTGTCCATTCTCCCCAAACGTGTTCGTTATATTCAATATTGCCCAAACGTGTCCGATTTCATAACCCCCAAACGTGTCTGATAATTGTTTTTCGCCAAAACGTGTCCACTGTTAAACGCCAGAACGTCTCACGTCTTTTAGCGCTAATACATGTACAAATGACATAAATAACGTTTACGGCAATTCTATGATGGGGGACACAGTTGATGAAGTGGTCATTTATTATCATTAGTTTGTTCAATGCCGGTTGTTAATGATTATCATAATTGCAAATTTAATCTGTAACATATGAATTAACTTTTGACTGAAATGCAAGTTGCAAGTATTGCATTCTGATTTAGAGCGAACATACAAATAATTTTAGTACAGTTGAATTAATCGTTTACCAAGTGAATTATTTTGTACTAATAAATTCTGATGATGCCTTTTATATTAAACCGAATATTGCACGGCGGGCTTTCCGCAGAATTGACTTCCCTTTTTTCAACAGTTCTGGTATTTTAAAAACTCTTCAAATCAAAAGTTTACTGTTTATCAGGTTTTTTAATAAATTTTAGGTTTCGAGCATCACTAAAGACACACAAACAAGAGACATAACGTCCAGTGCCAAATATTTCATGCATTATTTGAATGACATCATGTTAACAATAAATATTGTACATAGGTTTTATTATCATACCGGGAATTTAGGATTAGGCCTTAATTTTTACGGTTATTCGGGATTAACACTAGTTGGGGTTTTAATCTAAAAAAATTAAGAGCCAGTAACAACCAATTTTTTTATGACTTCAGTGAGAAACTACTTCAATCTCCGTTATGTAAGAGGCCGTTTTAAATAAAAGTTGCGGAAATTAAAAAAAAAAGAATGTTGCCTTCCAAAATACAACTGATGGCACCATGAAAGAGTGAATTGCTACACAGGTTTTAATGCGCAGAGAGAGTGACATTCTCCCTACACGAGGTATTTGATTTAATATCTACAAATTAACTGAGCATGGCTGCTTACATTTACATCCAACATAGCCGAACATATTGGCACTTTTACCCAGATTATACTGCCGGTTAAAAAAAGACCTAAAGTAATTTATTTCTATTTTTTTAATGAAATAGTAAAATGAGTATACGTTAATGAAAAAGCAATAACCAAATAACCTACGAATTTATAATATGGACACGAATGATAGTTCCAGTAAAGGAAAAAAATTAAGCTTGATATGGACACGTTTGGGGGATTGGACACGTTTGGGGTATTGGGCACGTTTTGGTGTGTATACAAATGACACGCTTTGGCGCCCTTTTACATTAGGACATGTTTTGCAGTTCAGTGACGTCGTGGACACGTTTGGGGGAATCAGACACGTTTGGGGGGAAGGACACGTTTCTGAGTGTTACATATATATATATATATATATATATATATATTTATCAGAACTTACCTTTATAAGGACATGAAAAATAAACGTGCTTCTAAAACAGGGCTTCCAAAATGGTAGTATTGTCCGGACTTGTCCGATAAATTATAATTATGATTTGTTGTGTCGAACCTGAAAGGGACATTTAACGTGGGTTTGCCATTTTAACATAATTCAGAAAAAAAATGAAGTTATTGCGATCTTTTCGACCTGACCTTTTGCCTTAAACTGCCACATTTCCGGTCATAAAAGTGACATGGTGAATAAGTACTATCAAAACAAACCCTACTTTAATACCCTCTCATTACAATCAAGGTTAATTAGTTGTCAGACAGTTGAAATTTACCTGTTCAGATGACAGGTAAACTAATATTTACTGGACATTGATAGGTCTGTTTAAAATTATTTTCATAAATTTCAGCGGTTTCCATCTAATTAATTTAGTCAAAAAGATTTAGATTGTCAAAAATACGCATATAAATATGATTTGATGAAAAAGGTAGTTATATGCGTATTAAGCAAAAAAATTGTCAGAACCACTTTGTTTGAACTAGTACACGCATGCACATGTGCACAGGTGCAAGATTTAATTTATGCATCTGAATTCTTCAAAAATGCTAAAATTATCATTGATACCTTTATCTAACGTTCATTTCAAGTATTTTCTTGAAGAAATAATGTTTAAAGAGCTACTTAAACTCAATCGTGCTTTGAGAATGTACACTGATTTTACGTATCCATCTCTGGTCCGTGTTTTACCATTGTCAAGTCAACATCCAGTATAAGAAAATGTGCCTTCTTAAAACGAAAGTTAAAAAACGTAATTTTGCACAAATAAAGATTCTAAGGCAGATATTAGTATGCTAATGTTTGACACTTTGAATGATCAATGCACTGTCAATTTAACAGTTTACATCAGTACATCGAATTTGTATCAAAAGTCAAGGTTTAATATCGTTTTTATGTCAATCATTGTTTATATGATGCCCAACTGATTACCATGATTGCCTTTTGTTACTTAGTCTTAAGGGATCAGACAAAAAAAGTCTGACTGGCACAAATTTTTCTGTTTTAAGAATGTAATGTTTTTTGTTTGAATCTTCTCTGTTAAAATGTTTAATGCAATTCTTTTGGAAGGTAAAATTTAAGATTTTATGATAATTCATGTTGATTTAGTTCTATTTTATTTGTGTGTAAAATGAAAATCAAAATGCATTGAATTTTTTTTTATTATATCAATTGAAAGTAGGGTTGTGAATTTGATTGAAACTATAAGTCCTTATTAAAATCGTTTAAAAACAATTCTTTATGCAAAATGTTACAATAGTTGTTTATTTGCATGAATGACGGCACACACATTTCATTGATGAATTGACATGGATGGACATGAAAACTTTAGATTGTTGTATTGTTATGTGATGTCATTGCCTAATGTTTTTGTGTATCCTGTCCTGTCCTTGATTTAAAAACAAAATATTAGTCAGATTAGCATGAAAGGGAAAATGTATAATATGAAATGAGAGAATTATTCCCCTTTAGGCCTCATTTCTATTCTATGTATTACAGATAGTGACCAATCATGTGTTGTTACATCAAAAAGCATTAGATCTTCTAGTCAGGTTATTTGAATCAACATTTGAAGAACTAGATGTTTTAGTCAGAGTAAGTCTGTTTACATAGAGTTGTCATGCAGATACATATGAAATGATTAGTTGTAATGTTTGGAAATACTGTGAAGTGGGATACCAATTTTCATTGTTTTTTGTGGGTATAGGTGAAAAACAAATTTAATGTTCCACAAAGTACAAACTTTCCATTGGCTTGTGTTGAAACTTTGACAAAACCACGAGATCAAATATACACAAAAATACAATATTTCCTCTATCCATGTAAATTGATACCCATGAAAATAGATGAATCCACAGTAATTAGATTTCTATTAATTATAGTATATAGAATTGGTAGTTGCTTATAAGTTCTAATGAGTTTAACAACTTTTTTCTATCATGCTATAAATGTCAAATAGACTTTATATAGATAATAAAATAAATGGAAAATGATGAGAGGTGATGGTTTATCAACACATTTAGAAATAAGGTTTAGTACACAATAAAGAGTCATAAAGAATTGAATACAATACTTTTTATTAAGATTGAAGAAGTTTTAAGTAATTTAAAGTCGATAAAAAAAGATACAGAATTCTATAATTAATATTAGCTTTAAAGATTATATGATTTACATGATTAACAATGTATTTATTTTATTATTATTCTGCAGCTTGAATTGAAGAAGACATTACTGGACAGAATGGTACATCTATTTAGTAAAGGATTTGTCTTACCTGTTGTGTCATATATATGTAAATGTTGGGACAAGCAAGACACAGATATCTCATTAATCAGACATTTTGTTACAGAGGTTAGTACTCTGCTAGAGCCCCATAATAGGAACTTTACTGGAGCCATCAATATGTCTTTTTGAAGTTGTTTCTCCTGTTAAACTGTTGCTATATATCAATAAAATATTATTTATTTTGTCAAATTGATCTTCATTAAAAAAAAGTTTTCAGATAAAGCTGACATTAGCACACCTTTTTGACAAATAAGGTTAAATATTGAAACATGAACTTGTTGTAACTTGCGACCTCAGATAACCTGAAGATAAACTAATAGATATATCTTCTTCCCTTGACTTTGACTTATTTAGGTTTAGCTGTAGTTTGCAGTCAAAGCTACAGGTTTCCCTATATTATACATTCATTTTGATTTTGGATCAATGATTCAGTTTCAAGTGCATCCAGTTCTGCTTACTTTACTGTATTTTTGTCGAGCCTGTAACATTTTGTGCAGAAATGACATAGCAATTTTACATTCCGTGGACTACATTGTCAGCATATAGGTTCAGTCTGTGGTTAAAGTATTTTTAGACCTCAATAACTTTATCAACCCTTCATGGAATTTTATGAAACTTGGACAGAAGTTTTTTTATGATCAAAAGTCAGTATCCTGAGTAAAATTTTTCCATATTTTACTGATATATGGACTTAGATTGTTTCACAGTTAACATTAAGATACAGTCTAAGGTTGAAGTTAAAACTTTGTCAAACCTTTATGGAATCTTATGAAACATGGACAGCAGCTTTATTATGATCAAAGGACAGTACCCACAGCATATTTTCATTTTCCCATCTTCACTGATACATGAACTTATTTTTTTTCACAGTTAAAGTTAAGATAAAGTCCAAGTTTAAAGTATTTCAGACAGTAGTAACTTTGTCAAAACTTCATGGAATCTTATGATACTAAGACAGAAGCTTTATTATGATCAAAAGACAGTATCCACAGCAAAATTTGAAAATACATCTTTTCATTTTTTGATACTGGAAATTTTTACTGATAGCCAGACTTAGTTTCTTTTTTTGTAGTTAACATTTAGATACAGCTTGGGGTTAAAGTTTTGTAGTAATCAATAACTTTGTTAAACCTTTATAGAATTTTAATGAAACTTTGGCAGAATCCTTTTTATGATGAAAAGATTTTGTTCGAATCCAAATTTTGAAAATATAATTTCCATTTTTCCATATTTTACTGATAAGTTGACCTTGTTTTACAATGCAATTAACGTTTACATACAGTCTCAGATTACAATTTTTAGACTTCAATAAATTTGTTGAACCTTCATGGAATGTTTTAAAACTTGGAAATAAGCCTCTTCAAGATCAAGAAATAGCATCTGAAGAAAAAAGTTAGATATTTTTTTAATTTTTCTTATATTTTACTGATAAATGGATTTAGTTTTTTGACAATTACACTTTTACACTGTCAGCAGCAATCACCGGTGAGACACAAGCTTCTTTGGAACCCTTTACAAATTTTTATGTTTCATAAGTGTAATCACACCATAACATTGATCTTGTTATTATTATTTCTAGGTTTTAGATGTGATAGCTCCTCCATACACTGCTGATTTTGCCCAATTATTTCTGCCATTAATAGAGAACAAAGATATAACAGGATCAATCAGAATGGATGATGGGAGTGACCCAGTGTCAGAGTTCATCAGTAGGTTTTATATCTATATAAGTGATAAGAAGGCTGATTAGGATCTATAAGAAAAAACAGACATACACCTGTTTACATTTACCTAACTAACCTTTAACGCTATTTGATTATGACCCTTTAGATGTCTTTTTATATTTGGAGAGTAAAAACTAAATTAATTTTCTTGATGGAAAAATTCAGTTAGTGTTGTAGTGTAAATTTTGCTAAATTAAAAATGTTTAAAACATGGCCTCTGCTAAATATTTAAAGTCGTCCAACTTCTAAATATTTATTGTAAAAAGCATAATTTAATTCAAATGTAATACTTGGAACAATTTTTTGACTTAGGAACTAAGAACTCTGAAAGATAGTTAATCCTGGAACATATAAATGTACTTTCTATAGGTATTTGATGAAACGAAATAACTATTATTTTGAAATTACTTGCATGAAATATATGTTTTTGAATAAAAGGATAACTACATGAAAATATCGCCTTTTCAGAAATTAAAGATAGAGGTTTCTTTAAAATAAATATATTTCTCAGTTAAATTAGAATATTTTTATCATCAATTTGATATGAAATGTACAATTCTATGATATATTGAACAAATTTAGAATTTGACAATGGCTTTGATTACTGGACATTCTACAAATTGGAATGGTAGGATATAGGAAAAAAATGAAATTATCCAAAAATTGTTGATAGACTTGATTTGTTTGTGTTAAAGAAAGACTTGGAAGCTAATTTTCAAAGGAATTCAAATGCATTTGTCCAGTTTGTTTTTCTACTTTTAACTGCTTCAAAATGAAGTTTATTGGAAAGTATGTGTTCATGTAAATACTTATACCTATTGAATAGTTTGCAAATTCTTTTATTTTCTCTTCACAGCTGATGCAAAAGCAGCCATAGCTGTGTGATATTCAGAACAAATCTTGTTTCCATGGATACAGCTTCCTAGATGTTGTAAACTATTGGTTACCATGACAACTGACTATAAAAGCCAAAAGATTGTATTAGTCAAGTTTAAGTGGTCAAGAATTACTAAGAAGTATAAAACTTAATCATGCTGAACATAAAATCATGATACAAACATGAACCAAAGAGTAAGCTTATAGCCATTTTATAATCGATGGGCATTCTGAAGGATAAGCAGTTTCTTGTGTATTTATTGTTTGTTAGATTAAAGAAAGATGGAAAACAAACAATTAAGATTTAAATGTACCCATATGTGTTCATTATCTCTATCTATAAATTATTGTTTTATTTTCGTTGTGTGTGAAACTTTCTCAATAAGAGTTCTATATATATATACATGTATAGATAAGGTATAATATGATGCTATTAGGTCAAAATGTTGTAGCAATAAGTCTCTGACATACAATACATAGGTTCTGTTCATCAACAATTGAAGCCTTTATGTTTGGATTAGACAATATAAGCTGGGATCTAGAATTATGTAATGGGGAAAAGTCAAAATAGAATAGAGAATGGAAAATTCTTTACAGTTTTGTTTGTATCATCAACGTAAAATATCAGTGAAAATGAAGAATATTGCACTAAAAACATTTGTTGTTCATTTTGTTGTCAAGATGAGGCAATGATTTGGTTCAAAATTGCCTGATTAGCTCTGTATTTGGAAAAGTACTTGTAATAGACTGGTGGTATGCACCTGTTTTAGCATCTATGTATTTCTGCTTCAAGTACAAAATGCAACACTGTCCTCGCATTAACTCTTCATTGGTGTTTAGTGCAAAAAGATTGTGATTTTGAACCCAGCTCTTGGCAAGGTGAGTTCTACTCTGAACTTTTTTGACTAGGATTACTTGTTTTCCTGATGAAGGTCAGTGGGTTCCTACGGCCTCCTCTACCAATAAAAACTAGTTGCATAACGGGAAAGACTACAAAAATTTTAATTTTATGTAATCACCAATATAGTGTTACCATACTAAATGTTGATAAACATTCATATATTTGCCTTATAATGTAGCTATTTCAAAACAACCTATCTGAATCTGAAAGTATAATATAAAGTACGTTATTTCCCTTTTTAAGAAGTAGGACTGGTTCCCTGTAGTGAAAAATCAGTGATTAGTTGCTTTTGACCCCCTTGTGCTGTTCAGTAAACATTTATTTCTTTCTAGCAAGGGAAGTACTGTAAATTCAGAAATTCTTGTGAGGTTTTTATTAATGTTTATAATGTGACTTCTTCAATATCACAATAATAAGACCTCGCATTCTGATAACAGATACATACATCTATGTGTAGCCTTTCCTAAAATCTCAACTATTAAACTCACATTTTTGTTCATTCTTCAAAAATCGCAATAATAAATGCACGCAATAATTTGTGAATTTACAGTATTTGCTTCCTGTATTATTTTAAAGTCAAATTCTTAATTGTAATAATTTTGAGAGAAGGACTATTAAAGTAACCCCAGTACACTTTGTTAGATTTCTATAGTTTCTCTAGACTTCATTGAGCGAGACAGTTATGACCCATAAAATAAACTTGTTGATGTATTTGTTAACCTATATTGTTACTGTTATATTGTGACTTCATTTATAGGATGAAATCCCTTAAATAGATTTAGATCTGTGTTTATATATTTTATATTATTAGTTAAATGATTCATTAGCACATAAATCATTTGTCATTTTATAAGAAAATAAAGAATTATCTAAGTTTTTTATTTCTCTGTAACTTTATTGAATTTCATACCTGGATCAAACAGTAGTCAAATCTTTTGTGTACTATTATTGATAATCTGTGATTTTAGGTGCATCCAGTTTTTTTCTGTCTGTGCGTCCACTCTGGGGTCCTAACTTAGGTTCTCATTATATTTTGGTAGGTCTGTGAGGCATAGGAGCAAGCCACACAGTTTGGTTGGTAAGTGAGGCCATTGGAGTAAACCATATATTTTGGTTGGTTATTAAGGCAATATGAATAAACCATATATTTTGGTTGGTCAGTGAGGCCATAGGAGTAAGTCATATATTTTGGTTGTTTAGTGAGGCCATAGGTGTAAGCAATATATTTTGGTTGTTCAGTATGACAATATGAGTAAGCTATATACAGTTGAACCTCGTTGTGTCGAAGTCGAAGGGACCGGACTAAAGTATTCGACTCATCCGAGGTTCGACTCATCCGAGGTCGAGTGTGTCGTCATAAATTTGGAATGCATGAAATACGGTATGAGATTTGTGTAAACTAGATACAATGAACAGTGTGGCTTTTTTCGATATGACACTTTATGACTGTGTATTCAATCTCCATTTTGGTTCTTCGTAATAATTAAACACACAAGTACAGATACAAATCATGCACAAATAAAATCAATAGTCTACACAAATATTTACAAAGGTCAGTCACTATAAATTATGAAATCCCTCGTGGCACGAAATAAGTTCTGAACGGTCTCTGATGAGGTCGTCTGCTTTACATTAAATAATCATGAATTTGTCATAATTGTCCTAATCCTTTTATTTATTGTAATTGTAATTAATGTGTTTTAAATCTAACGTTTCATTTAATCTGGGTTTGGGTCATTTAGATTCGTTTCGTTTTTATCTCAGGTGAAAAATGTTCAGCACACTAAAATTTCGCTTGAACGATCAACAAAGGTGTTAATAAGTGGTCTTCATAAACGTGTCATTTTAACTGTTATACAAACAAGTATGTTTAATAAGCTTTAATCTCTTTTGAAAATGATTAGGTGACATAAGAAATACATCCGATTTGAATTTCTAACATTAGGCCTGCATCTTTCGAAAATTCTTACTTTCGAACTTCTAGACATCAGGGTCAATTTACATTAATTTTACTTCGACGGGACTATAAAATTTACTCGACTTAACCGAGTATTCGAATCAACCGAGTTCGACTCATCAGAGGTAATTATGCATTGATCAAACGGGAATTTTACCGGGACCAAGAAATTACTTCGACTCATCCGAGTTTTCGACACAACCCAGTTCGACACAACGAGGTTCGACTGTATTTTGGTTGTTCAGTGAGGCCATAGGAGTAAGCCATATATTTAGGTTGGTCAGTAAGGCCATAGGAGGAAGCCATATATTTAGTTTGGACAGTGAGGCCATAGGAGGAAGCCATATATTTTGGTTGGTTCGTGAGGCCAGAAGAGTAAACCATATATTTTTGTAGTTCAGTATGGCAATAGGTGTAAGACATATATCTTGGTTGTTCAGAATGGTAATTTGAGTAAGCCATATATATTTTGGTTGGTGTGTGAGGCCATAAGAGTAAACCATATATTTTGTTAGTTCAGTATTGCAATAGGAGCAAGCCATACATTTTTGTAGTTCAGTATGGCAATAGGTGTAAGCCATATATCTTGGTTGTTCAGAATGGTAATTTGAGTAAGCCATATATATTTTGGTTGGTATGTGAGGCCATAAGAGTAAACCATATATTTTGTAAGTTCAGTATTGCAATAGGAGCAAGCCATACATTTTGGTAGTTCAGTATGGCAATAGGTGTAAGCCATATATTTTGGTTGTTCAGTATGACAATATGAGTAAGCCTTATATTTAGGTTGGTCAGTGAGGCCATAGGAGTAAGCCATATATTTAGGTTGGTCAGTGAGGCCCTAGGAGGAAACCATATATTTAGGTTGGTCAGTGAGGCCATAGGAGTAAGCCATATATTTAGGTTGGTCAGTGAGGCCATAGGAGTAAGCCATATATTTAGGTTGGTCAGTGAGGCCATAGGAGGAAGCCATATATTTTGGTTGGTTCGTGAGGCCATAAGAGTAAACCATATATTTTTGTAGTTCAGTATGGCAATAGGTGTAAGCCATATATCTTGGTTGTTCAGAATGGTAATTTGAGTAAGCCATATATTTTGGTTGGTGTGTGAGGCCATAAGAGTAAACCATATATTTTGTTAGTTCAGTATTGCAATAGGAGTAAGCCATACATTTTGGTAGTTCAGTATGGCAATAGGTGTAAGTCATATATCTTAGTCGTTAAGAATGGTAATTTGAGTAAGCCATATATTTTGGTAGTTCAGTATGGCAATAGGTGTAACCCATTTATTTTGGTTGGTCGGTGAGGCCATAGGAGTAAGCCATATATTTTGGTAGTTCAGTATGGTAATAGTAGGCCATATATTTTGGTTGTCAGTGAGGCCATAGGAGTAAGCCATATGTTTTAGTTGTTCAGTATGACAATAGGAGTAAGACATATATTTTGTTTGTTGAGAATGGCAATAGGAGTAAGCCATATATTTTGGTTAATCAGTGAGGCCATAAGAGTAAGTCATGTATTTTTGTTGGTTAATGGGGCCATATGCGTATGTCATGTTTTTTACATGAAAATTGGAGACATAATAGTAAGTCATGTGTTTGGTTGTTCAATTCGACCATAGGCGGAAGCAATGTAATTTGGTTCGTCTATTGGGCCATATACGAAAGCCATGTAGTTTTGTTGATAAGTGGGGTCGTAGTAGTAAACCGTGTGTTTTGGTTGATGAGTTGGGCAATAGGAGTAAGTAATGTATTTCGATTGGTCAGTGGGGCCATAGGAGTAAGCCATGTATTTTGGTTGGTCAGTAGGGTCAAAGATGTATGCCGTGTGTCTTGGTTGGCCACTTGGGCCATAGGAGTAAGCAATTTCACTTAAAAATCTATTCAAATTTTTGAACGGCAAGCAGGATGATTAGACATAATTCAGTAAGCAAACCATCTATGAAATATTCTCTTGAATTTGGATTCTTAATGTGAATATTCTCGGCCAATCAGATGCTCTGTCTACGATCTTAAAAAACAAGTGGAACTGCCGTTTAAGAGTGATAAATGCTACCAAAAGAAAATTCAACGAAAGTTGGGTCTCATTTAACAATCAGATTCGGCAGAAAATATTTTGCCCTATCATTGATTCTGCATGAGATCTTTATCGATATACAGCTGGGACTGGTATTCAATAGTTTGACATGGGGTCACCACGGGACTTCATAATACTACATAATCATATGCGTCTGCAACAACATATGTTAATGGTCGGTGCACTTCTTCCTATTTAAACCACTGGACGTTAAGCAACCAACAATCACTCAATCAATCATATTTAAACTCCTTTGGATTGGGATCAATTGCATCCTTAATACTGGATCAAATCAGTTGGCGATGTGACTGCAGGGGCGGATCCAGCCATTTTTAAAAGGGGGAGGTTCCAATCATTTGTCAAAAGCATTGATCGTCAAAAAAGGGGGTTCCAACCCCCGGAACCCCCCTCCTGGATCCGCCACTGGGCTGTATATGATTAGTTCTATCATGGACTCGATGCACCAGTGTACATAGATGTTAATACGCACTTACGGATTCTGTCTGTTTGAGATGCGTCTGAATCAATTACACTCAATTGCAGAATCCGACTCGTAACCGGGAAGAAGAAGAAGAAGAAGAACCAAGTCCCCAAGTCTCAGTTGTGCAGGATATATTGAAGAGCTGATGAGCTGCTAAAACAGAATAACTTAGTATCTTCAACCAATAAATGACAAAGTCAAAATTTACTTGGGCTGACTTTAAACGATATAGCTAGCTGATTAACATTCTTGTAATGCTTATAATAATACAAATACTAAAAAGCCCTCTGTCAAGCATATTAAATGAAGTGCTAAATTCTCTTTAATTTATTATGAAGGTATATCTGAAGATGAGTAAGATCCCCGTTCGCAAATATCGCTCTATAACTCCATCAGATTGTCAGTACATACCCTCATCATCCTTGGCAAGATATTTCATGCTATGTCGGTAACTGCGTGTGGTCAGCCTTATTGTAAAAAGTAGCAATACTATTAAATATTGAGGTTGAAAATAATACTTCAGGACAATTAAAAGCACTTTTAAGTCTTTTGTTACCTGAAACTTTATCTAAAGCTGGAAGGGTTTACATCTCCGAATGCATTTTATGAAATCCCTTAAATTTGGACAATCAAAGTTTGAATTAAGAAATAGGACTTATTAAATCATGATTCAGAGATTTAAATAGATGACACTGAAGAAAGGCTCTTGTAAGGACATGTCTCATTCTACTTTATTTACTCTTTATTTAGAGAAGGTGGATAATAATGTTAATACAACCTGGTACTATTACTCTAGTATATTAGTATAATAGTCCCAGATAAAAACAAGGCACTTAGATATCATTGGAAGTTTTTTTGGGAGTCAATGACAGATGCTATTTCTAGAATAATTGAAAATGCGGTCAAGTCAAGAAGGTTTCCGACGTTTCAAAGATGATAACTGTTTTGCACACATTTCAATGATGGTAACTGTTATCACTGTCTACTGTTGGCCGAATTATTTGACTGGATTTTTTATAATAGTCTGCTCGATAGAGCAGACGAAATGCATGTTGCCAAGGAGACCTAGATATTAAAGACAAATGCTCGGAAAGAGCAGTATACTAGACAACACAGTCCGATACTAGTAAACATCATTTTTCATCTGCATCATGTTACAAAGAAAGATCAGTTTTCCAAATAGGCACATTCAGGTAGGTTTTCGTACCCAAAAAGTAATACATATATTAAAAGAACAATCCCATGTATGGTGCCATGTTCAAAATTTGTAAAACAAGAGTGCACACGCTGAAATGTATCGCCTGCTTTACTGACTATGATTGATTTTATTTTGACGTCGTGAAATCAAAGGTTTTGCTACAACC